TGTAGACCAAGCTGGCCTTCACAAAGATCAGCCTGCCTCTGCCTCCTGAGTGCTGGGATTAAAGGCGTGCGCCACCAAAGCCCAGCCCTGCCATCTTGTTTTGAGACAGGCAGGGTCTTTCACTGCCTTGGAGCTTGCCCAGTAGATTGGGCTGGCCAGTGAGCCCTATGAATCACCTATCTTTGCCTCCCTAGTGTTGAGACTGCAAACATCTCATGCTTGGCTTTAAAAATATTTTATTATTTATTTTTAAAGATTTATTTATTATATACACAGTGTTCTATCTGCATGTATACCTGCCCGTCAGAAGAGGGCACCAGATATCATTTCAGATGGTTGTGAGCCACCATGTGGTTGGCTGGGAATTGAACTCAGGATCTCTGGAAGAGCAGCCCATGCTTAGCCATCTCTCTAGCCCCAAAATATTTTATTTTTAAAAAGTATATGTATATGAGTGTGTCCATGAATGGGTGTGTAAAAGTGAGTACTGTGCCCACAGAGGTCAGAAGAGCATATCAGATCCCTTGGAGCTGGAGTTACAGGTAACTGTAAGTGGTCTGATATGGATTCTGGAAACCAAACTTGGGTCTTCTCCAAAGCATCAAGCACTTTTAACATTTCTCCAATTCTGCCCTACCCCAAACCCCTTAAAGGCAGGGTCTCACCATATTGTATGGCATACATCTTTAACATTGTGAAGAGACACCATGACCACAGCAACTCTTACAAAGGAAAACATTTAACTGGGTGGTTTGTATTTTCAGAGGTTTAGTCCATTGTCGTAATGGTGTGACCTGGTGTCATACAGGCAGACATGGTCCTACATCTTGTTATTCAGGCAACAGGAAGAGCTCTGAGACACTGGAAGTGGCTTTAGCCTATGAGACCTCAAAGCCCGCCTCCACAGTGACACACTTCCTCCAACAAGGCCATACTTCCAAATAGTGTCACTCCCTTTGGGGATCATTTTCTTTCAGACCACCACAAACATGAAGGCCAGTTCTTGCCTTGGCCTCCTGGTCTGAACACAAGACTTCCTATGAACATTGACCTTAGCCATACTCATGAATGTTTGAGATTCTGAGGTCACAGAGGACAATGTGTTCTTGTTGCATCCACCAGAGCTGGGGAGACATACAGGTAGTATTGTTTCATCAGCTTTATCAACACCCCTCACCTCAAGTGGTCAAAGTCTTAGAGGGAATATCTTTGTGGACTGGTCTGAGAGGACAGAAGCAGCCAAGCAGTCAGACTCCTAACCCTGCACACTGGAGCGCCTCCAAATACCAGCCTCCTCATCCACACAACAGGAACGTTGCAACTTCCTCATGGGCTGGGAAGACTTAAGGAAGGAATGATCATAGAACCCTTAATCCAATGATCCATAAATGTCAACTATTCAAATGACCAAAGGCCAAGAGGCTCCCAGGAGCAGAAATCACGTCCTTTGCCCCCTTATCTGTGCTAGTATCTTCTCTCTTCTCCACCTCACTGTGTTGGGGTTGCAGAGGTGGGAGGGGGTGGCAGGGGCTGCCTGGATACAGTCAGTTATTCACACTGTGAGGTTTCCGGTGTATTCAATTAGAGGAGATAGGAAGGAAAGGGTGGTTGCAAGTTGATCCCCAATCTGGCTCCTTGCAGTGCTCCTCGGATGGCATGGAGATCGTATTTCCTACCAGGGAGCCCTCTACAATTTCAGCTCCCTTGCTGGCCTTGCCTCTACCAGCTGCCAGCATCCTCCCATCTATCTTGAGTACGGTCAGAGTTTTGGATCACCCTGCGCTCGCTCACCTTCTACTAAAGTGAGGGAATTAGGTGTTCTCTGCAGCTACCGACTGAACACCAGGTGTGGTATCACTAAGACTGCCTGGGTGAGGTCTGACCAACAGATGCTGAAGTACAGAGGAAAGGCAAGGACAAAGTGACCCAGTCAGCATTTGGTACCTTACCAAAGCCACACAGGAATGATGCTATAACTGACCGGACTGTGCCACATTGTTCAAGGTTAACTTGTCTCTGACAGTCATAGACTTTAATGACTGATTTCCCCTTCTCAGTACAATTTCACCTTTGGAAAAAAGATGCTCGGTGGAATGTGGGGTTTTTCTCATCATTAGTAGCTTCTTACCATTTTTCTCTAACAGTTACTCAGCCATTGGCTTACTAAGAACTAAGTATTCCACTGCTTAGGTATACAAGGCTCTGGATAAACACATAGTAGGAGTATATAACCAATTTCAAAGAGATTCGATTACTCTGGGTTCCTTGATTAGGTCAATAGTGTCCTAAGAAGCACTAAGCCAGCCATGCCTGTCTGGAATTTGGACTATTCTGGGCATTTCATGGAAGTGTAGTTGTATAATAGCTGGTCTTTTATGTCTGACTTTGTTTACTGTCTTTTCAAGGTTCATCCACGAGGTACCCTGCTGTCAGCACTCGGCCTTTAACTAAGTAATAGTCCCCCGTATAGAGATACATACATTTGTTGTGCCACTTGGGCACTTGTACTATTTCTACTTTTAACTACTGTATACCTAACATTATGAACACCCATGTACCTATCTTGATTTTCATGGGGTTCCGTGATGGTTGCTATCAATTTGAGTGGATCTAGAGACTAGATCCTGGGCGTGTCCTTGAGGGGAATTCTGAGCTCCCTCCAGGACTTAGACACTGGTATCTCATTTCATCTCTGCAGGAGGTGTTATCCTGTTGTCCCTGTCACCTGCTTAAGGCTCTTCTTCCTCAAAGGAACAATTTCAACATGTTAATTGCCAATTACCATACATGTATCTTTCATTCTGTTGAGTATCTGGGGCCTTTCTGTTTTCATGAATCCTAGGACCCCTTGGCAGTTAGCCTGGCAGCAGCTGCCTGCTCCTTACAGACCAGAGTCAGGAGCACTGTATTCCAACAGGACCAGAACGGGGAGCATTGTACTTTGGCTCTGTTTGGTTTTTTGGGACGGTGTTTCTCTATGTAACATTGGCTATCCTGGAAATCTGTAGACCAGGCTGGCCTCGAACTCAGGAATCTGCCTGCCTCTGCCTCCCAAGTCCTGGGATTAAAGGCGAGTGCAACCATTCTAGCAGTTGCCTCCTTTATTGAATTTTTCATCATTCAAGTGTTAAAACATCCCTATTTCATAGTTTGCAGGGTTTGGGATCTTGTTTGTTTCAAGTATACTGTTCTTCTGCTGCTACTATAAGGGGAACTGCTCCATTTTCTTCTTAGACTGCTTATTGCACGTGCACAGAAACAAAGGAGAGCACTAACTCCCATTTGCATCCTCTGACCTCCATGCATACCATTGCTTGTGTATATCCACATACATTAAATAAATGTAATTTTTAAAAAGTTCTCCAGTCTGCTATCCCAGGGAAGTAACCAGAAATTCACCTGACCTGGGAAGTGGGAGACTGGGGAGCAAGTGACGTGTGACTTGAAAGAACACGTGCTGTCAGGAAGCCCTGACGCTGCAACTCACAACTGCAAATCCACAGGTGTGGCTTGTTTACGGCATTTGAACAGTGCGCTGAGCACAGAAACAAGTTGGCTGTGACTGAATAGGGACATGGTTGTGGCTTCCCCCTTTGAGTTACTGCAGAAAGTATGTCTGACACATAACCATTACAGAAATGCAAAATTAACGAATGTTTTTTTGTGAGCCAGATTACATCAAAAACTGAAGTTTCATTTTCAAGAAATTCAAAGGTGTTTTATTTTTGCCCTCAACATTCAAAATTCGAAACAGTGCTTCAATCAAAGTAAGTTTGGTTAGAGTCAGGATATCGGTTAAAAGTGGATGAAAGTGCCCGGTGGTGGTGGCACATGCCTTTAATCCCAGCACTCGGGAGGCAGAGGCAGGCGGATCTCTGATTTTTGAGACCAGCCTGGTCTACAGAGCAAGTTCCAGGACAGGCTCTAAACATACAGAGAAACCCTGTCTCGAAAACCAAAACCAACCAAACAAAAAGTTGATGAAAGTTACTCTCTAGCACATCCAGGATAAACCTGATTAAAAAACATAGAGCTAGGTTGCAGGGTTCAAAAATCCAGTACAAATATGAGTTGTTTCTATGCACGTGCAATAAGCAGTCTAAGAAGAAAATGAAGCAGTTCCCCTTATATGTAGGTCTGCCTGGAGGATCAAACTTTGTTTTTAGGCTTGGCAGCAGTGCCCTTACCTGCCAAGCCATCTTGCTGGCTTTTCTTTGGGGGTTGAGCATAGAACGTTTCCTTGTATTTATTAGAGACAATCAGGAAAGTCATAGTTTCAGGAGGAAAGGACTCTAGAAGAGAAACCAGAAACACTTAAAACAAACAAACAGCAACAATGAATTGGCAAGAGGCAAACCAGCCAGTTAGGGGCTGGGGAGATGTGTCAGTGGCTGAAACGCTTGCCGTGCAGGCAAAGGATCTGACTTTAGATCCTCAGACCTCAACACAAATGCTATGTGGGTGGTGGCTTGTCTGTAATTCCAGGTCTGGAAGGCAGGGGCAGGAGACTCTCACAGCAAGCTGAGCAGTATGACTGACTTTACCTATGCACTCTGGGATTGACTGTTAAACCCTACTGATGGGGATGTCCTTCTGAATATGTTTCTCTTATTGGTTGACGAATAAGACACTGTCTGGTCAATGAGGCAGGAAGATAGAGGATGAGAATTCTGGGAAAGATAGGCAGAGAGAGCCTGCCAGAGAGATGACATGTAGCCACCAAAAGGAGTAAGAGGTCCAACCCTTCTTTGGTAAGATACTTAGATTAACAGAAATGGGTTCATAATTAAGACAGAGCTAGCTAATAAGAAGCCCTAGCCATCTGCCAAGAGTTTTATAATTAAAGTCTTTGTGTGCATATTTGGGGCTCTCAAAAATAATATGGTAGAGACAGAGGAGGATTCTTGAGATCAACCTTGGGCCTCCACAATTCATACAATGTGCACACATATACCACACACACACATAGGAAAAGGAAAAAAATCCCACAAGTTGAAACATTAACAGATAACTTGACATTTATTGTGCAATTTTTATCCCCAACAGAACATGTGGCATTCTAGAGGTATATGAGGTAAGAAAATCAATATTCCAATTAGAACACCCGAAATAATTAGCTCTAGTAACAAATGTCTCTTATAATTAAAAATATTGAATGTTTAAAAAACTCTTATAACATTTTAAGTTCCTAAAAGAAATGGCCTAACACTTAAAAAACAACTTACTCTTCTATATAAATTGTTCACAAAAATTTTTGCTATTCTATATTATACTATGCATTTTAGCTTTATTAACATATCCCTAGTGTGTATGAATTCCACACAGTACAATCAAATAGAAATTATTCAGAGAAGCCACAAGACTCCAACAATAAAAATATTAGGATCAATGGATTTGTCACAGTTTCTCCACAAGTATTCATCATAGAAAATAGAGTAAAGGCAACTGGCCCCAGTGTTAGCTGCTACATGCCATTCTGCAGAGGCTTAGCCTGGGCAGGGACAGGCTGGACAGCGACCGAGTTCTCTGCCTGCCTCCAGCAGGGCTTGCTCCTAAGAGGCACAAGCCGGGCCCCTCGTGGCTTTGGCATGCTCTCAAGGATGTTAAAGCTAAAACTACAGGGGCCAAAATCAACAGGTCACTATATTCTTTACATAATCTCCTCTACAGTTCTCACAGTGACATTGTCAGTTAAAACCTCCTGTTCCACTGAATTTCAAGTGTCACCAGGAGGCTATAAAACCAGCCACACAGAGATGGGAACATTGACCAATACCCAGTGCTATCACCAGGGGTTCCCCAAGAGGATCTAATCACAAAACTCAGTTCTCTCTTATGTTCCTGCATCTTTGTACAGAGAACCTAGAACACAAGCAGAAGGGAACTAGACTTCTGATGTGTCCATTTCCCACAATTTTCTGGTCTCCCTCACAGGATGTCACACAGGCCATGACTCATCCCAGCCTGTAGGAACTCCTGGAGGCCCAAGCTTCATATACTTGTATTAAGCACCTGTGTACTTCCAAAGCAGATGTAGTGATTGATATAAATACCAGCTTTCCCTCGATAGCATCAGAAAAAACCAAAAAGTTCACTCCAAAGTGTTGGCAGACTTTGAGCACTATGCTTGACTGGGGCAAACAGAAGGGGTCATTCTGCTTACGGAGCTCAAAGTGACCTCCAGTGAGCACCCTGGGTAGTGACAGCTTAGGGCAGCTGTGCGCGTTATAAGGATACATTAAAGTGCTTATCAAAGCGGCTAGCACACAGGAAATCAAGAGTTATACTTAGGTAGCTACACTCAACTATTGCCACGGGAGTGATTTCCAATGGGATCAAATTGTTCTGCAACACGCTGAGGCACAGTGTACTGGGGCCGCTGTTCAGAGCGACCCAGGCTTTCACTAGCAGATGCACTTTCATTGCAATTTGGGAAACTGTGATTCAATAAGGGCACACAGCCCTTACAGTCAGTTATGGAAGCTCACAAGCCAAGTTTTGGTAATTTACTGCCTTCAATAGTCAAGACTGACAAAGCCAGTCATTAAATGCAATATACTATGGAGAGTGCAAGTGGCCTCTAATGTGTAAATGCATCAGCCAAAGTATTGAACTTTACCCTTAAAAAAGTGGTGATGGGCGTTATTTTTGCCTTCCACATTGCTGATGTCAACTCATCCCTCTCCTTTATACACACACACACACACACACACACACACACACACACACACACACACACACACGCCCCAGCTGATAATGCAAGTAGCTTTGTGGTCAGCTAAGTGACATTTTCCTCCAGTGTTTCAAGTGTTATTTTTATCCAGTACTTGTATGATTGAAAAAAGCCACCACTGTGTTTACAAAAATACACCAAAATGACGCACACATTTGCATTAGAGTTGTGACTCAAGTATCCCTCTTAATGTGTTTGCCAAGCAACTTTGGCAAGTGTTGCCACAGTCAACACACACCACCAAGACTCATACTGTACATGCAAAACCATTTTCTATCATGTTTCTCCAAATCTGCATGGGAAAGCAGTCACTTATTAACATAGACATGTACTGTGACATGGTACAGCATTTAAAATCTTTTCTAAAAGTCATCAAAAAAGATAACCAGTCTATACAGAAACTAAGGAGGTAGTCGATGGGTGTCAGGGTTAGTCTAGAGCACATACTGAACAATGTTTCACCCCTACACCACAACAAAACAAATGAGAGCAATGAATGTTTTCATTCTGCACATGATGCACATCTTCCCGCAGAGCGCCATCCACGTTCTCAGAGTTGCAGAAAGAGGCTCAAGTCATTAAATGGCAGGGATATGCAGAAATCATAAACTTGCAGATTCCTAAGTTTGAGTTATTGTTTAGATTTTGTATAAACATCTATTATCTCAAGAACTGTTACTGGACTGAACAATTAAAAAAAAATCCTATTGCTATTAGTAACCGTAACCTGATGCCATGGAGAGTAGCTGTGTTGAATATAATTATAATCACGTGTCCTTACCATCCTGCTGAAGCGTCAGGGATGACACATGAACCACCCGCTGACTACAGCTACGAATGCTGACATGCATCCCTCAACACCTGACCAAGAGATGACGGTGCTCCTGCACTCATATACTCTCTGCTACCTTTGTAGGGAAGCCTTATGAAACGCATGGCGACAGTTCCCCAAATGCTGTGATGGATGAGGAACAGGGTTAAGGCCTGGCAGAAATACTTTTAAGCAAAAAAGCTACAATTTGAAATGCTTCAGTTTTCTTGATACCATGAGAGGCTGAACAGTGCAACCACAAATGGACTGGTGAGAAATGTGACCTTATTAAATGTTTGTAGACCACTGCTCCCCTCTGTAGGCTCCTGGTCCCAATCCCCTGACAGGTCATTCCAGGGTCATCCCCCTCTTGGCAAGATCTGTGCCTGGGGAGTCAATCACTGTGAGAAGCAGGCATTTTAATTTGGAAAAAGAATACACCATGCCAACGTCACTATTAACCATGGGGCTTCTGCGAGTTGGGACACTGAACTTACCTAATCACAGACAAAAGCATCACATTTAGTCATACCAGCCTGGCAACCATTTTCTCACCAATGAAGCTGCACAGCTGCATCCTGAGCTGTTTTTAACTCAAGTCTACTTCAAACTAACACTAAATGACTCAGGATAATTCTAAAAGTTGACAGAGGACTAAGTTTTGTGTTGGGAGAGCAATGTGACTGCCAGAATGATGTGGAAAATCAAACCAAGCTGACAAGAAAACATCCTCTGACTTCCAAACAGTAAATCAAAGACTTGCAGAGAGATGGGGCAGCCTGATTAATGGTGAGCTCTGAATCCCTGCCAGACTCGGCAGGCTGACTTAACACTCAGGTGACCACACAGGAGCCCAGCACGACCTGAGTATCACCCAGCTTTAAATGGATACACACTGAAAGAGCCAGCAGAGCACTGAAGGTCTAAGCGGCTGCCTGCTGGCATCGGGCGGTGAATTCACTAAGCTAAAGAAAACAGCAATCATGTAAATAGAGGCAGGAAAATGGACACTTGACCGTGGCTGAGGTCTACAGGTCCTAAGACCAGGACACGCATGCAAACTGGCTGCAGACACTGAGCAAGTCTGCGCTGCGGTCCTTAGTTTCCTCACGTGCACACTGGTCAGCATCACTCTGTTTCAGAACTGGTCTCTTGTGAGAAGCTGATGACAGAGCAGACATTCACTTGAGTGAGAATGAGAGGCAGAGAGCAGGCGATTCAGGAGCAAAGGCAGTGGCAAGCCTAGCATGAGCGCCCTTTTAAGCGGCGGAAGCAACTGCCAGTCTGGAGGGTCCTGTCCTGCCTCACAGCTGTAGTGAGTCGCAAGCTCTGAGAGTTTGAGTCCAGAATGCTCCTACCACTCTTAGTGAACACCTGCACCACTGCGGGCAACAGGATGATGCACAGAAGGCATGCCCAGACTCCTCAAACTTACAGGGGGAAAGACACAGCCTGCAAGCCTTATAAGCAGCTGCTAAACATGGCTGCTGTTTCAAGGCCAACATGCCCCGCACAAGCGGCACCGAAGCCCAGTGCAAAGGGAACATGGACGCGCAGTGAGGGGATGGAGGGCTCCTCCCAAGGTTTTATGGCACTGGGAATTTCCTACGACAGATTTCCCAGACCTTTGAGCACACATAAGAAATATCCCATTCCTTTGGATAACCAAGGACACTGCTCTCACCCACTTTAAGTGACAGCTCATTTACTCAGCTTCTTTTATTTCTAAACTGCCCAGCCGATTTGTTCAATGCTAAACATTGAATATAAAGGATATGTGATTTATTTTTTGATAAAACTGTTCTAAACGGACAGTCTTAATTTCTATCCCAATTCCAAAGCGCTTCACTGTTTGTGGATGTCATTCACAATCTTTAAGAACTGCTGTTCCTGTAGCTCTTGGTTCCACAAAGCACACAGTAATCTTGACTCATTTGTAAGTCACTCACTCGTATCTAAAGGTGAGTCCTTATCAAAAGCAGACTCTAGTACCTCTGTAGCCTCTGCTAGGAAATGGCTCCCAGGCCACCACCAGCCTCGCATATGGATCCCACAGATTAACCAGGGAAGCAGAACAGTCACTCGGAGTTTAGACTGCAGAGGACTTGTGCAAAAAGGAGGGGCACAGCTGAACGAGGCGTTTCCATTCATGACAATGGGAAACTGAAGTTCCATACATTCTCACCCAGCCCGGAAAGGTCCTCAAGTTTCAGAGAAATCACCGACAAGCCATTGCATAGTTGTCAGAATGGCCTTGAAGATGTATCTACAATGCCAGACACCCTCTGCAGCAGGTACATCAGTCATACCCCATGCTTGATTTTACCAAACAGCCAGCTAGTGGGAGTTCTCTAACCCACCACCCCGGCACTGTGTCCACAGAGTACTACTTAAGGCTATGGAAGCTGTGCATCAAGGCTTCTGAAAATAGTATGGAATCTTTGGATGTTTCCTAGAAATATAAAGAAAATCTGCTTGTAAACCACAAAAATCAGACTGCCTTTCTGATGGACACAGTGAGTTTTGTCTATGAAACAACAGAAACGTGGTTGACCTCCCCTGGACAATCTACAGACATGGCCTCTGTTCTCTGTTCTAATCAGTAAGAGTTTATGACATACAGGAGCTTACAGTGTCATCTACCTTCTCTGCTGAGAACTCTGAATTCAAGTCTTTGGAAAATTGAAAGAAAACTTACTTGAATTAAGCGAGAAAATGCTTGTTCCTTAAAACACTGTGTCTTCCCTTCCCCCATGTGCAGGAACACTAACTGAACCTTCCCAGGAGACCAGCTCTGCTCAGGAGGCCAGGCTGACTTGAAGACTTGGGACAGGAGACACCCTTGATGTCGACCTAGTAAAGACTTTATGTCAACTGTACCTTTTCCTTTGTGATATAATATACCCCGAACCTACTGCGGGTACCAGAGACTTCCCAGAACACCCTAAAGTGGGTTTCTGTTTGGGAACCATAGCAGTGGGTCAAGAGTTTTAAGTCTGAGAGTGTGTAAAGTACGACAGAATAACATGCTTTGGACTCTAAGGTGACAAGGAAATGGACATTCACAACTGGAGCTTTTAAAACAAAACAAAACAAAACAAAACACAAAAACACCACTGCTAGGTGGGAAGGTTCTGTTCACTAGTCCCCAGATCCATCCTGTGAACTCTTGTTGAAGACCTCATCTTGGGAAGCCTGGTGATCCATCCCTTCATAAAACGAGCCACCGTTGTGCAGGAAAGTCCCCACTGCCCGTCCCTGTCGGGCGTGGCCCACAGCATCGCTGAACACTTTGTTTATCTGCTCCTCCGAAGGCATCCACCAATCAGGGTTGGAGGTACAGTGCATCCTAATGAATTCTGTGGGAATACAAGTAACAGTAAAAAAGAGAGCAAACAGCCGGTTTCTTGACGGATGATGACAGAAAGGCTGCTTAACCTATATCCAAAACACTATCAGAACAGTTACATGGAGGTCCACAGCAAGGCCAGGACAGCGCCACTCACTACAACCAACCTACCCCACACCAGTGTTCCATCTGCAAGAGCAAAAAGCCACCCACGACCTCTAGGAATATTTGCTGTTGGAAACAGGTGTCTTCCTTAGATGTTCCTTGCCCAGGGTGAACTCAGACCTCCACACTTATGCAGCAAGCATTTACCTAATGAGAATTACTTCCCCAGAAGGGATCAGATGGTTTAGATTTTCTTACTTTGGCTCCACAAATAAGTAGCCTGAGCCCAACTCTGCCTCTTCATGAGCAATTCTACCACTTTTGATGTTGGGGAACTATGATCAATTAGTTAAATAAGATATATTTTAGAAATTTCCATCACTTGGTCATGCAAAGCAAGTAGAATTTTTCTGACTGGCCCCCGGGAATCGCTTTACAGCACTGATACTAGTTAATGAAGGCATTCTTGTGCAGTGGCTTCTCCAAGCATGTGGCACTTGAATCAGAATCATCTAGGATGGTTGACAGCCATGCATGCACCAACCCTTCAATCCCTGCTGGGTGAGAATGTGTAGGGTGAGCTAGAGGTGCCTAACTGCTACCCAACAGGACATGTGCACTTTGGCAGGAGGGTTACAGCGCTCAAGTGTCTAAGAGAAGGCTGTGTCCTGGGGTGTCACACCTACCTATCTATCTATCTATCATCTATCTATCTATCATCTATCTATCTATCATCTATCTATCTATCATCTATCTATCTATCATCTATCATCTATCTATCTATCTACCTATCTATCTATCTTTCTATCTTTCTAATCTATCAAACTGTGACTTTACCACCAGTAAAAATTTGGATTACTCTCCAGAGTAAATCAACGTATCTTTCTAGTCAATAAAATTAGTTCTCAAATGTGAAGGGTCTGGTGTGCTTTCTGTTTTGTGTTCCAAGACAGACTGTGTTCTAGTGCCCCTACCGTGTTTCTACCTGTCTGTGTTTGCTGGAACCTGCTCCATCAACTGTTAGTTCCCCAACCTTTGCCTCATCTGCAACTGTGGAGACCAAAGCCATCACCTGAAATACTAACCAAACTGTGTCATCTCGGCAGAATTTTAAGCAGAAAGTCTCTCTTAACCTCTCTCTCTCACCCTACTTAGCTACCTAAGAGGGTTTATGGGTAAAGTCTACTTGTGGTATGCTTTGAATGTATCACTAAGGAAGAAAGCCAGATGAAGGCCCATGGAAGCAAGATACCTTTTTACTAACTAGAGAATGGCGTCTTCTCTCCCTGCATCTATCTCCCTATGCTCCAGTTTTGCTGAATGTGGTCTTCTCTAGCAGCAAAGAAAATCTGAATTGAAAGCGTGAAACATGAGGTGCTATGCGATGCCTTTGTAGCAGTAATGTGAAAACGAGGCTAGAGCAAAGAATCATTTACAGAGCTTTTCAACACCAAGTAGATGGGCCACATGAAGCTTAGAAAGTCTTGGTGCAAAGATAAAAAAAAATCAAAACACAGTAACAGCTGACCACTTGTGTGGGGAGCCACAGCCAATGCAGTGAAATGGGATCACGGATGGACACTGAGGGGAAGGATGCGGTACCTCGGAGGCACGTGACTTTAACTGGATCCAGAGGGCGTCTTTCGGGACCTGTCTCTCCTGACTGCACTGACCTTTTCCTTTTCCCAAGGCCGCATGAGTACTTAAGCTCATCGGTTGTGAAAACAAATCTGATGAGGTATCGAAGGAGCCGTCTCCCATCTTTCTTGGAAGAATTTACAGCCTCATCCCACTGTTTGCTCGTTATGTAGACAGGATAGTTGTTCAACAGCTGCTTGCTTCCCTGGAAAAGGAAAATATTTTCTCATTACCTACTGAGCCAGCCAGCCAGAAGCCAAATGATCTCCATTTCAAAGGCAAACATGCTTTTAAACCAAGTGGCTATGCTGACAATGAACCGGGCATTGAAGAGCACAAGTAATTGCTCACACTCAGAACGGGCACTTTTCAAATTACATTTGCATTTTCTATAACAAGAGCCAATGAGGTATAATGAACACCTTTGAAAGAGGAGCTATTTATAACTCGCATTTTAACAGGTAGGTTAAAATGTGTCAAGATCCAATGACAGGGAACACTCTTTAAATATAACCTGTAACTTTCCCTTTCAATCTATTAAATATGCAAACATGACTTTGAAGAGTGTGATCAAACAGGTTCCTTCATCCTCTGGCTGCCAGTTAAGTTCTTAGAGAAATGGTGCCAATAGTCTATTTGAATAGGCATTACTTGTGTTTAAGGCACCTAACACAAGATTGTCATTGTGTAACAGTAAAAACATGAAAAGAGTGGGCTTAAAAGGAGGAAACTGAAAAGAAAAATAATGCAAAACAGCTCTTCTCAAATTGTAGCTTCTGCAAATGCCATCGTTGTCAACTCAAAATTTTCTTACTTTTCACCTTCATAATTTATGTCTGCTGTAAAATTCCTAAGCTAAATATCTGCAGTGGGACTAATTATGGGGACTTCTGTAACATTTATAAGCCATGTTTAGTCAATTGCACCCACGCAACCATTACTTTAGTTCTGGCTGTCCATAAAATTCTACAGTCCAGGACAAATTAATTAACCCATGATCTCAGTTTTAATATACTTCTTCCCCAGTAATTAAGGTGTACAAACTAAAAAAGGGAAGCTAATTCAGTTTTACAACTCTGACAATTTACTACAGGTTATAAATTTGGCCTGTTTGGGTCTGACAGGGCTTTATTTCAGAAACTGCTTGCTTTAGCTAAACATGGAGCAGGTTCTGGAATGAAAGCCAGCAAGGCTGCATATGACTAGGCAACAGTCACTGGACAATACATACAGGGACTCATCTCTTCAGCATTTTCCAGAAGGTGACAATGCGACTTGGTTTCCTTTAAGGAGGGTAGTTAAATTTAGAGATAGGCTAGCTTTAAAATGAACTGGGCTCCATGTCTTAACTTGAGAAATCTTCCTGAACTTGCTGGAGTGGCCCCAGGGAGTCAACAGGTGGCAGCATACAGACCCTGGGCTCTGGGACCTGTGCACATGTGATCAGAAACCAGAGCCCAGGGTCCACAGGTTCTTTCAGCTGCCCTCAAGCAGGAGGTGTTGAGAGTGCAGTCTGAGTGTAGTCTTGGGCAGTGCATGGAGGAAGGAATGAGGAAGTCAGACCAGCAGTGTGGTGAGCCAGGCTGTGGAACACAGATCCCTACCTAAGCGAAAGGGTGTGAGCTGCATGGCTGAGGCAGAAGGGAATATAATCCAGTTTCTCATGGACGGAGAGGAAGGCACTTAGTAGGTCTCCAGTGAATGACTTTCCATCCTGACAGTCGGTGGAGCTTGAGGTGTGGACTCAAAGCTGGCTCAGAACCACTCCTCATCTAAAGCATTTTTACGGAAGTCCTTTGTGACAGGTGCATTTCTTACAGAACAATTAACAGTAGTCTAAGGGACTGCCTCGGGTGGTACAATTAGAGTGGGGGGCGGGGGCAGGGAGGGGATTGGCAGTGAAGAGATGACTCAAATGTTAAGAATACTAATTGCTCTTCCAGAAGACCTGGGTTCAATTCACATGGCAGCTCATACCATTTGTAATTCTAGTCTCAGGGCCTGAGGGGACTAGGTAAACACATGATCCACATATATACTGTGAAAACAAAACACCCATCAACAAAACCAAACCAAAACCATTCTAAAGTTGGGCCATGGGTTCAGCCTGGGAGGGGACTATTCTCAACCTCAGTTCTTTACTGTCAAAACAGGACCAACAATACCGTAGTCACTAAGCATAATGCTCACATCTGTAACCCCAGCACTCTGGAGTCTGAGGCCAGTTTCAGCTATATAGCGAGCTCCAAGGCAGTTTTGGGAACAGAGGGAGAACAAAACAAAGTGACAAGTATAGATTTCCAGTTTCTGATAAGTGTCCATTCATCTTCCACCAAAGAGCTCTTGAGGACCAGGATTTGTACGCTCCATGTAATAACCTGCTCCGAGACTTAACAGCAGGTGCGGCACACTGGCTGAGTGAACCATGTAGTCCAAGGCTTACTGAAATAAGCAGCACAAAGCAGATGCTTGGCAACAGTGGCTGCAGTTAGGAATTTAAAGTCAGGGGCTGGTTCAGAGGACCTGCATTCAGTTTCCAGCACCTACAAGGTGGCTCACAACCATTTCCACTCCAGTCCCAGGGAACTCAATGCCCTCTTATGGTCTCTATGGGTACTGCATGCACACAGTGCACAGACATATGCAGACAAAATACCCACACGTGAAAAATAAAAATGAAGGTTATAAATAAATCAAATCCCCTCCCTCTTACAGACCCTGTGAATACATTCCAGCAACCTCAGAGGAAAACTGCACAGCTACTTCTCAGAACTGTTTATCTTTTCAACACGTCATCATCATGGTCCTAATAATATACCTGTTTCCCTGGGGCTGGGGTGCCTGCCTACAAGGAAAAGTTATGGCTAGCTTACTGAGGTTGTATCCCTTTTCAAAGACTCACAATTCCTAAGTGGATGGGTGGGCCTGGATGAGCTTTTCACTCATCCCTTAATGCTGAGCTGTGTCCCTAAACTGTGCCTATTTCAAGATGAGGGTGTTTGTGACTAGGGAGCTGGCGATCCAACACAGGGACTTCTTCAAATCTTTGAGAAAATCATAGAAGGGTCCTGTGCAATTCCCAACCACAGCAGCTCAACATAAAACATGGAACTCATAAAATGCAGAGCTACCATTTGGAGATAATTTTCATCAAGAAAGAGAACCAGTAATTTATAGCCCCAAACACAACTTAGGATGCCCTGTGGGTTATGGATGAGAGTTATAATCCTGTTTTTAGCATAGTTAAAAGGAATAAAATGTGATAAATAATATAAATGAGAACATTCTCAGGTGCCTGAAATGACAATAAAAACAGTACAGTAATAATGATGATGATGACAGGCAATGAAGTTTAAATAGCCCTGTTCGAGGGAAACGCAGGCAATCCTTTGTCCTTATCTCTTGTGTGTGGGGATATGAGTGCACTTTTATGCCTATACACATTTAGGGCAGGGGTTTTCTTTAAATGACTTTCCACCTTAATTTCTTTTCTTTTCTTTGAGACAAGGTCTCACTATGTAGTCTTGGCAGATCTGGAACTCACCTGTAGACCAGGTTGGCGCTTAAACTCACAGAGTCCTCCTGTCTCTGCTTCCCAAGTGCTGGGGGGCTAAAGGCTTACAGATGTGCACCACCTTGCCCAGCCTTTCCATCTTTATTTTTGAGACAGGGTCTCACTGAACCTGGAGCTCAGACTGGCAAGGCTGATAGGCTAGTAAACCTGTCCCCACCTCTGCAGGGCGGTGGATTACAGCTATGCACCATGAACCATACCCGGCTTTCCATGTGGGTGCTGGGGCACCACGCTTCACTTCATCAACTAAGCCATCTTCCCAGCTCCTCTTCCTATTTTGGGGGGCTGATGATGCACTTCAGTTAGGCAGTTACTAGCCCTAACTTAACAAGTCACACTGAAAACAGCCCTGACTGTTTGCAAAGACTTTTAGTCAGATGACGGTCACAGGTACAGATTTACAATGTGCAACATGAGCACAGGCAGGGAGGGGCAATCAGAGACACTTTCTAGAGAAGTACATATTTCACTTGTGTTTTATACCATAAAACGCCAAGTTAACAGATGCAGTCTTCAGCCGGCAGTGGTGGCACACGCCTTTAATCCCACCACTTGGGAGGCAGAGGCAGGTGGGTCTCTGTGAGTTCAAGGTCAGCCTGGTCTACAGAGTGAGTTCCAGGACAGCTAGGGCCACACAGAGAGGAGGCTGTGGGCATCCCACCAAGAGTCAAGCATTGAGTAGTGATACGCAACTGGGCTGTGGGACTGTTTAGCCTTCAAGTGGCAGAGAAGGAGGAGGGGAGGGGAGGGGAGGAGGAACAGCACCATAAACTGACTGAAAGAGTAGAAAACAAGGAAGTAACCCAGGAACAATGGATGAAAAGTCCTGAGCATGAGGGATGGGGAGCCAGAAGGCAGCACTGACACAAAGGCAGTGAGGGAAGTGAGAGTTTGAGGGGTCAGGCTTGGAAAGACCCCCGGGAAGGGCACAGGGTGGAGGGGTTTCCTGCAGACACTGGGGAGTGGTGAGGGTAGTAAGATTACAGGGTGGAGAGGGAATGAAAACAGAATGGAGATCCTGCGAACAGTTCTGCAACATGTTCAATCATTTAAAAATGAGTCATCATTTGGAAAGCATGAACTGAGGATCGAGCATTCTCAGAACCCAAGAGGCACTGGGGTGCTAATGGGGACAAGGAGAGTTTACCAGACAGATGGTGGTTATGGCATGGGGATGCTGGAGCACGCTGGGATGGAGGAGGGAGCACAGAAACTGAGGAAGGAAAGGAGACTCAGCCATGCTCTAAAGTCTAACACCATTGAAAACTCAGTAGAAACGCGGTCTGCTAAAACACCTTAGCATCAAAAGACCACTGTGCTATACAATAGGAGACTGGCCGCCTCTATGTGACTCAAGAGGAAGAAAACAGCCGTGCGCGCTGTCTGGGAATTATGTCGAAACCCCAGAGAATGTCAGACACCCTGGAGGGAGGAACATGGAGACCAGGGTTCTGCTTGAAGGCATGCTGGATGTTATCTCCATTTCCAACTTCCCTGCTCCAAAGGAACGGGGAAGACGCACCTATATAATTTAAGCTGCCTGTTTCCCCTTTCTGAATCTTGGTAAATTAAATCCGCACACGGTCTTTCTCCACAGAGTATGTGCCCACAGCAAGAGACCCACAAACGCCACACAGTCAGCAGTGTGCTTGGCCAGCCAATTTGCTCCACAGAGACCTGAGGGTAACCCACCTGCACCCTCTTCCCAGAGGCAACTCCTACCTCGGTGGGCTGGTCGGCGGGCTGCGGCAGGAGCTGGTTATGGTGCAGTAGCACTGTCTTCAGGTAATCTAGGACGGTCTGGCAGGGCACTGTGGGAGAACAGCAACGACACGTTAGCTAGCTTTCAACATGGGGATGGAAACCAGGACGTTATTTGCATTTATACCTGGAAAATGGAAAATCAGTTTTCTCCAGTGGAGAGAGTGCAGCCCCAAGACCAGGAATGGCTGCCGGCACTAAATGAACTCCATGAGACTATCTCATGTGTTTGCTTCTGTCTTATTGGTCTTTTGCGTGTTTGTTGTAATATTTATGCATTTATTTACTTATTTTTGTGAGAAAAAGAATGAGAACACAAAGTTGGGGAGGTTCTGGAAGGAGAAATGATCAACATATATTGTATGAAAAAGTTTTAATTAAAAAATTAATTACTGGGGGGAAATGTAAGGTGTCCCTAATTTCCCCCAACAAATTAAACATTCAACCCACTTTGCTGATGCTGTGCTGGGAATAAGCCTCTGGCTTTCAGTATTAATTGATGAAAGACCCAAAGGGCCCACCATGGTGTCACACACCTGTAATGCCGGTTCTGGGGGCAGAGGCCCGAGGATGGTGATGCACAGGCCAGCTTGAGAAAGGAATGGACACATCCTGTGACATGCATATGGTACAAACTTGATTTAGCATGGGAACTGCAGTAAAATTTAAATTTCTCACAGATTAAGTAGGATTTGAATGAACCTCCTTTTATCCTTATTTTGCTTTGAGATTATGAAAATTTAAATTTAAGCACAAAAATATTAACAAAGCAGCTAATAAAACTGAAAATTCAGTATAACTTCAATGATGTTAAACATGTGTATAACAAAAAGATGGGAAAGAATTCAGTGCAAATAGTGATTTATCTCAACTGTGCGATTATGGTAGTTATTAGTGTTTACTCCTTTGTCATGCTCATGAAAGGTAGTACAGAGCGAGTATCCTTTATCTCAAATCCAAGCTGTCTCCAAATCAGAAATTTTCTAGACCCAACATGATGTCACAAGTGGAAAATTCCACACCTGACCTCATATGATGGTTGCAGTTAAAATATGAGCACACTAAAATTTTTAACCTAATTGAATTTTAATATACAATGAATATATGAAACATGACTATATGGCATACTTAGACTTAGGCTTCACCCCCAAAATCTCATTACATAGATGTAAATATCCTCAAATCTGAATGGAAAATGGTATAATGGCTCTGGTTCTAAGCATTTGGGGCAAGAGAGGCACTTAAATCTCTCTATAGTGGGTATTAACTTAACATCAACTGTTGTCTGAAAACCACCACAGTAGCTGTTGTTCCTTGTCTCTACGACATGCGGTATTGGTTATCAAGCCACAGCTGTGCTGGAAGCTCGCTCTTCGTCTCTTTGCTCCACAGGCATCCAGACATTTAGGCAGTGCATAAGCCCTAACCAGGCCAGCTGAGTCTTGCTGAGAGAAGTGGGCATTGATGCAATGTCCCCGAGTGGGAAGGAGCTCTGAGGGAAGTGGGGCCTGAGGACTGCAGACAAAGCTAAGGCCAGGGAGACTAGGGATGTGCTCACAACTAACCAGCTATCTAAGAGGCTAAAGTAGGGCTGGAGAGGCGGCTCAGCTTGAGAGCACTTGCTGCTCTGGCAGAGGACCCAGGTTCGGTTCTTTCACCCACACTGGGGCATCTCACAACTCCAGGGACCCAACGCCCTCTTCTGGCCTCTACAGGCACCTGCACAAACACACACAATCATTTTCTTTTCTTTCTTTTTTGGTTTTTCGAGACAGGGTTTCTCTGTGGCTTTGGAGGCTGTCCTGGAACTCGCTTGGTAGTCCAGGCTGGTCTCGAACTTACAGAGATCCGCCTGCCTCTGCCTCCCGAGTGCTGGGATTAAAGGCGTGCGCCACCAACGCCCGGCCACAATCATTTTCAAAGTTTAAAAAATTTGAAATCACTGTGGACTCCGCCCACTTCCGGGTTTTCCCTTGCCTTTTCTCCTAGACAGAGGCCTCCAGATGTCTTAGTTCGTAGCTTTTTAGACACTTGTCTAGACTTCCACAGGGAAACCGTAGAAACAAGTGAAATGTTTTCTGTGGGAAAACAAAACCAAAAAACAAACAAAAAACCTCAAAAACTAAAATCCTCAAACCCAACCCAGCCCAATCCAACTCTTATCAGTCAATCTTGAAAACAGAGACTGGAGAACTACAGCAGGCATGAATGAAAGCAGCCAGTTCAGGAACAATGTAGGCCACAGCCAGAAAACTATAGAAAGCCTCTTTCGATCTGACAGAGTACAGTTCATGGGAACGGGAATTCCCAAGCGAGGACATAGCACTTGCAGACAGGAACCAGTGTGCCCAGGAAGGCTCTGTGCATTTAGGCTGCCTTGTATTCTTATGGCTTTTAAAAGATGAGCGATAGGTGGGGGTGTCATAGCTACAAAAGTATCAATAGGGCACCAAGGAGTCAATTACTCTCCCAGAGGCCTTAGAAAGAACTGCAGCATCCTTGGACCAAATAAGAATTTAAGCAAGCTACTCTGGTTGGTGAAGAAACTGTAACCCACTGGACAGTTTTCTTTTGTTCCCTTGTGCATTCTGCTGATTCAGTGAGGAAATAAATGAAGAAGAGAAATACAGAGGCTTCTATCAATAGGAGAGACTGTGTGCCAAGCTGAGCTACATATCAACATCCTGTCTCATAAATCCATTGAGAAACCATCCCGACACTGATGTTTCTAGTGTTCTTCCCTCTAAGGGACAACATGGAATTGCAATGCTCATCACATAGTCTGAAGGGGAAAAGGGTGGAAATGGGATGGTTTGGGACAACAGGAAAGAGACCCCTGCCTCAACCCCTACTCTCTAAGGCTTTTCATCTCCTTCAGGGAAAACAGCTACTAAATACACACATAGGGTCCTTAGCACACTGGAATACAAAAGCAGACTACATTTCTTCAGTAACCGTTGGGTATACGACCCTGGGCAGGTCACCCGACCTCTCTGTGATCATGCCTGTAAACTGGGGTAATCACTACCTCAGCGACTGTGAGGGCCCACTGAAACAACGCATGTGAAGCAGACGCAAAGCCTGCTGGGAGCTGCCAGCGTTTTAAGAGTAGCAGCACAGTGGGTCCCTCAGAGGCCTCATGACTTGGCGGTTATCTCAGGGCCGGTACTGGGTAAGCCGCTCCCACATAAGCCTCTTCTAAAGAAATTGCTAGTTTTGGTTTTCCCATATAAAGGCCGAGTAAGCCTCCAGCTAACAATTTCAGTGTACTAATATTATTAGTCATGTAGCCCAGGCTGGCCTAGAGCTCACCATCCTCTTGCCTCAGCTTCCCCAATGACTGGATTACAGACCCTATGCTACCACACCCAGCTAAAATCTTGGCCAGTTTATCTCCTTTCCTCAAGCACTACTTTATCTATCTTGTTAGCCAAAGACTTCAAACTCCTCAAAATATTACTCAATAGTTTTATAGGAAAGTTGAATATTTTTGTTGCTGACAATCCCAGCTATCTGTTATGTTTAATAATCTTCACGGTATCTGTTTTATAATTAAGCTCCAGAATAGAAGTATCTCAAACCAAGTGATCAACAGTAAGTATTAGTGTCCTACAGTTGCTGGTTGGCGTGCAGACACAGACAATGCCTTGTTTCAACAGGGATGGGGACATCAAGATGAGAGGCATCGACTCTGCCCGCAGGCACCGAGTACAACCCTAACCTTATCAGGACATCAGGAGACGGTACGCAGGGTAAACAAAGGCTTGAAAACAACTTTAACAGAGGTATGCACTATGTGTGGTGTGTGCTTGGAGGTTAGGAAGGATCTCTTACAGAAAGAGCACCTTGCTTCAACTGGGCACTGAAGAATGCACAAGAATTTCTCAAGAAGAGGACAGCATATTTTGGGGGTGGAAAGAACAGGAGTCAGATAAAGTGTCTGGTTGCCCAACAGTCAGAACTGTCCAGTGAGGATGGCTGCTTGGTGTACTGTGGACACTGAGGGTTGAAAATTCTCCAAAACGGTCAGGAAGAAAACCAAGCACAGCAGTGCATGGCCGGTATTCCCAACTACACAGATAGGACCCTATCTCCCCCAGATAGAACCCCAGAGAAGTGAAGACGGTAAGAAGCTCTTTCTGAAGCCAGACACCACTTATCCTCTGGAAAAACACTTCCCGTCTGGGTATTGGGGGACACACAACAGCTACACTCTTATCTTTCTTTCTTGGTTAAGATGGGGATTCGTCACATAGCCCATGAGGGTCTTGGGCTGTCCCTCTGCCTCAGCCTTTTGGCACTTGGATTAGACATGCTCTACTGACATCTAGAAACCCTTTTTCTTTCTTCTTCTAAGATTGAATGTAGGTGTATGAGTGCTTTGCCTGCTTCTGTTTATGTGCATGCTGGCGCCTGCGGAGGTCAGAGGAGGGTACTGGACCCCCTGGAACTGCAGTTATGGATGTTTGTGGGCCACCATGTGGGTTCTGGGAACTGAACCCGGGTCCTCTGGAAGAGAAACAAGTGCTTTTAACTGCTGAGCCATGTCTCCAGTCTCATGGAGGTGATTCTAAGTGCTCCTGGGAAGACGCTGGATCGAACACTTCACAGTCCTATAGTATTAACTTTGCTGTAGAGGAGGGGACTGAGGCTCTGAACAGGCAAATGACGATTGTGGGAGTCACAGCTGAAGAGCAGCATCAGTCTACAGCTGCGGTCACTGTTACAGGCATCAGTGTGCACAAAGCCCTTTCCCCTAACTGCGGTACTGATTTACCTGTTTAATGTCACAGGAAACTCGTGGGGTTAGCTCCATAGCTCACACTCGACTCCCTCTTGAATTCTGTAATCACAAGTTCGCGTGCTTGCTAAAGTATGCTTGGAACTCCCCAAACTGGAACTTTCGCGAGCCATTTGCAGATTCGTGCAAAGAAGTTTGGAATGTGAGTCGTCTGACAAATGTCCCAGCTGTGATCGCCTTGTTTCAGCTCTTATGCTGGAAACAAGTGTCCCTGTCATGGTTTATTTAGGGATGTTCCTTATATTTCTGTTTGGGAATTCATTTTTAAAATGACTTCCACTGTAGGGCCGAAGTGCCAACACCCAAAGCACGAAAGCAACAAGGTTACACACTTATTAGTTGAAGGCACTGTACAGGAGACTCTCAGAGGCCTGGCTCTGCATTTGTGCTAGAAGTAAAGCTACAGTCACTAACTCACTCATAATTCAGGGTCATACTGGTGATGAGACAACACAACTACCCTGAAGGTGAGAACTGACTCCAGGCTGGAGGGTCACAAACTGGACACCCAGTCAGAAGGCTTGGACTCTGTAACTCTCCATCTACAGCAGCTCTCCCATCTTCTGTGCCCCAACTTCCTTGTCTGTAAGATGAAACAGATGGCTGGTGTGGGCCCAGAGGTAGGAGAATTAACTAAAACGACCACAAATCCCTGTCTTACAAAACAGAGCTTCTGCCAGGTGTGATGGCCTGTGCCTATAGACCTGCCATCATGCCTGGCAGAAGTAAACGATTTGAAAAAAATACTGGCAATATTAACACTGGCAAAAACACCATCTCCTTTCATATTCTTAAAAGATTTACTTTTATTTTGTGCATGTGTCTGCACCTGAGTGAATGAGCATACGTGTGCCGCAAGGTCTGAGCGCCATGTGTGTGCAAGCGGCTGCAGGTCAGGAGGGTGTCGGAGCCCTGGAAATGGGAGTTACGGTTGTGAGCTGCCCCAGTGTGGATGTTGGATGAATTACAAGTGAAATTAGAACTTTTCTTTTTAAAAGTCTTTAAAATGACTTACTCATTTTTATTTCATGTGCATTGGTGTTCTTCCTGGGTGTATATCTGTATGAGGGTGTTAGATCCCCTGGAAATGGAGTTACAGACAATTGTGAGCTATCATATGGGTGCTGGGAACGTGGGTTCTCTGGAAGAGCAGCCAGTGCTCTCAATTGCTGAGCCATCCCTCCAGCCCACGTGTATTATTCCTAATAGCAGGGGAAAAAGCACCAACAACAAAAATTCAGAGGTCTTGACCTAAGAAAACTCCAACTCTAATACTATGAAAATGGAGGCTATTTAAGAAGCAGGGACTGTCTCACACCAGGGACACAACAGTTTAATTCAGGGTTTATCTTTGACCTGTTAGCTTACAATTTCTAAATTAATTTTGAGGGAAGGCTTGTGCGCTGAAGAGATTGCTAGCTGAAACTTAAGTTAGCAAAGGAAGCCAGGAAAAGGGCTGGACAGAAAAGTCCATGCCCTTTCCTCAGTACCGAATGCTGCTAATGCAAAGGTGATTTTCTTCCTATTTATACAGGGACATTTGATAGAGACATCTTTCATGAGGACTACGGGCTTCAGGGCTTACCCCCAAAGCACGGAGTTTAACATAGACAAGACAGGTTAGTGCTTGCCCTGGAATTTCTGCCTGGACCGGGTAAGCCAAGGACATCTTACACATCCTGCTTTTTCAACTTTTCAACATCTTGGCCCTACTCCCATCACTGAAGCTGCACACACACACCCAGGTATACACAGAGGCAGTTGAGACAACTATGGATTCGCATTGCTGCTGTCTGCTCAAAGTGTGACTGCATACCTGGGATGCTCTCCAGTTTCCTTCTGAGCTCTTCATTTTCTTGTTGCAATGAGATAACCTCCTGCTCCAGCTCCTGGCATCGAGGACAGTAGCCTTCCTCCTCCTCCTCCTCTTCCTCCTCTGGCAGCGTGGAGGAGGATGGGTGACCATGGGACTCAGAAGTTGCTGGGGAGGTCCAGCCACCTAATGTATGCACCGGGGAGGTTGAGAGAGGGTCCACATCAGCCAGGTGCCCATACTCACTGACTGATGAGGTGTTCGGAGTCGGGAAACTCCCGGAGAGCAGGTAATTTTGGAGAGAGTCAGTGAACACTCTCAAAAAGGCAGAAGTTTGCTGTTTTCTTTGCATATATTGCATTTCTATGTCTATGTTGTCAGAGGTCTGACTCTGGACCCCTTTTGCAATGTGACACTGGTCCTGTCTTTCGTTATAACTAGAGCCTTCCTGCTTGACGCAAGAAATCATGGATTGAGAATGGTTGGAGTCCAGAAGTTTTCCTCCACAATTTAAGAGACTAAGAACACGACTGCACTGCTGGGCAAAGGCATCCAAGATCATACGGCTCTCTGGAAAGAAATGAGAGAGACATTAGTGACCAACAGCCAGGCATGGAAGAAGCCAGGTCCTCAGCTTCACTTTCCAGCCCAAAAGTTCCAGTGAACCCACCACAGAAAGGACACACAGCTCCCTATTGTTCTGCGACCAGTGGGCGCTTGAGCCACCCCAAGCCCTACTACTCAGAAAAGGCTGGGGACCGTATGCAGATGTCCCTCTCTGGCCTGCACGGGTCTGAACTCACACCTCCGGCTTCATTAATATCCTTACTTTAATGACTCGAGCCAGCCCCTGCAGACTCAATTCCTCATTGATAGGAGGCCTTCCTGCAATCATTACTGCTATTTCTGGAGTGCCCTCTTGCCCTTGCTATTCATCAGCTGATACAATCCCTGCCACAACCACACAGCTCACAGATGCAAACTGGAGAAGAGAGATTAGTCCTCATGAAGAGCTCACTAGAGAGCTAGGCAACACAGACGGTTCTATAGGCAGGAGGATGGGTGGGACACAAAATTGTCACCCAACACCTGTGCACTCAGCAGTCTTCCTAATCTGGAATTCTTGTCAAGGCCAGTGTTTAGAGTGATGTGGCAGCATCATGTGAAAATGGGCTGTCTCTCTTTTCAGAGCCATTTACACTGGATTGTCAAGTCTCCTAAAGGGGAACAAAGTATGGGTGCCATGAAGTCCATGTATCTAAATTCTAAGCACATGTCAAGCAGTGCGAAGTCAAAAGGGAAGAGAAATGGACCAACTTGCTACAGGGACAAAGAAAAATCTCTCCAAACTCTGAAAGCATTATTTAATGTCCAATTCATTATAAGTGTGACTGAAACAGGTGGCTCCTTCTCCTGCTCATCACCAGAGATAGATCTGACTAGTACAGAATAACACTTTTCAAGCCTATTCAGCACAAGAGTGGCTACTTCGGATTTCTTCCCCTTACCCAGATTAATGGTAACAAACAAAACCCCTGGAGAACTCAGGGGCTAGAAACTTTTATTATAAAAATGTACTTTAACACTGAAAACACTGGCTAGATATTTTTGTTTTATTTGGTCTAGGAAAGGAAAAAAGGTTCTTTTAAGTGAAACAGTGAGATGCTTGAGGTCTTCTATGGGGTAGAGGCAACAGATGCAGTAAAAAACCCACAAGAAAGCTAGGCATGTATGGTAAATGAAAACAATTCTAGCAGTATGTGCTACCTATGAGCTATGGTACAGATGCACTACCCCAACCACTCAGGAGGCCAAACTGCAGGACCATTTAAACCCATGAGTGAGCTGTAGATCAGCCTGGGCAGCCCAGCGAGGCCCCTTCTCAGGAAAAATGGGGCCACGGGGGAAGGGGGAGACGACATGGGATACGGACAACAGATACTGAGACTTCTGTCAATGTTCTACCATGTTTTTTCTTCTTACCACATTTTCATGAAGTAAGTAGGTATTGGGTGGTCCAAATGTCCTGTTTCAATTACTTTATTGGAAGACATAAAGAAATCCCAGCAGTGCCCCCAACACACAGGAAGTATCCATCCCCCAAGTCTAAACAATGCTATCATTTTGAGGATTTCTGAGCCAAAACTTTTCTGTCCACAAGAGGATTGCAGACTACACTGGGTTGTCAGGGTAGTGCTTCAAATCTACCCACTGAAGAATGGATCAATATATACCCACCGATGAGACAGACCAATACATACCCACCGATGAGACAGACCAATATATACCCACCGATGAGACAGACCAATACATACCCACCGATGAGACAGACCAATACATACCCACCGATGAGACAGACCAATACATACCCACCGATGAGACAGACCAATACATACCCACCGATGAGACAGACCAATACATACCCACCGATGAGACAGACCAATACATACCCACCGATGAGACGGACCAATACATACCCACCGATGAGACGGATCAATATATACCCACCGATGAGACAGACCAATACATACCCACCGATGAGACGGATCAATATATACCCACCGATGAGACAGACCAATACATACCCACCGATGAGACGGACCAATACATACCCACCGATGAGACGGACCAATACATACCCACCGATGAGACGGATCAATATATACCCACCGATGAGACAGACCAATACATACCCACCGATGAGACGGACCAATACATACCCACCGATGAGACGGACCAATATATACCCACCGATGAGACGGACCAATACATACCCACCGATGAGACAGACCAATTGGTAAAGCAGTTGTCACACCAACACAAAGACCCATCTCCAGCACCCTTTGAAAAGATTCACGTGGGGGTATGTGTTTGTATGTCCCAGCCCTGGGAGACTGACACAGAGGGGTTGCCCTGGGGTTCCCTGGCCTGCTAGCAGGCCTAGCCTAATGTCTAATAACAAGGGGAAGGTTGGGAGAAGGTTCAGAGTGAGGAGCTTGCTGCACAATCATGAAGACCTGAGCTCCATTTCAAGGACCTATATAAAAAGCCAGTGGAACAGCAAACCCCTATAATCTCAGCACCTGGGAGACACACACAGAAGATATCTGGAGCTTACTGACTAACCAATATTAAGCAAACAGTGAGCTCCAGGTTCAGTGAGGTACCCTGTTGGATGAAAACAGGGTGGCTGCCTGTACAAGAACTGCCTGACTCAAAGCCCTGTCCTTAACTGAGTGGCTACTGGCAGTTGACAGCTGACAGAGAATAACGGGAGGGGGGGGAGTGGATGCTGCCCATTCTCCGGTGAATGGTCACACCCCATGCACATACGGACAGTGCTAACTGGACTCAGAGGGTTATTGTAAAAAAGAAGGCATTAAATGGAGAGATAAACATGTGGGTCAGGGTACAGGGAGGAGCTGGGAAGGGGTAACAGAGGGTAGATGTGCTATTTCATTGTATGTACCTATGAAATCTCAAAACATAAAAATAGATGGGACAACTGAGGAAGACACCTAACACTGACCTTGGCCTCCAAACACTCCTCTCTTGGAGACATCTATAAATTCAGAGCCTTTCGTGTTAGTGTTTTCAGATTTACTTGACCAGGCTTGGAAGTGGGCACAAGACCATCACCACCTTTGACAGACTGAAATCCTTACTGTTTTCCTCTTGATATGCGTCCTTATTTTTTCTTAAAAACAAAGGCAACAAAACAAACAAACAAAAGCTGTGTCCAGAGTGGTGTGTGCCACATCACACGTACCGGTCAGAGGAGAATCTCATGTGTCACAACTCTACCTTGTTTGAGCACTGTCAGCTGCATATACCAGCCTTGGCCTATAGCACCCACAGACTCTCCTATTTCCATCTCCTATCTTGCTATAAGGGGTGCTGGGATTACAGACGTGCTATGGAGAGCACACTACCTTACCCTTCCTTAGATTCTGTGTCAAGGTCAAGAATCCTTCGACAACCTCTGAGAAGGCCTATGCAGGCCCCTCACCTGAGTTATCCAGTCAAACACACACCATGGTGCCAGAGCGCAGACACGTGGACCTGTTCAGTGAAGATAAAAACTCCAAACACAAACCCGGCCACTGATGAAAGCTCAGAGTCCTGGTCTATGCCCATGTCCTAAGTCTTACAGATCCTCGATGCCATTTCTTTACTGACCTAAACAAACCCAGGAAGCCACAGCTGAACCACACAAGTGGAGACGTGTTCCATTCTCGCTATTTTGCTTCCTTGTTTTTGTTCTTTTATTAGTAAAATCAAAGAACAGTATTGATTGGAAATGCTCAATTCTAGCACAAGAGCAGTTTTCATCATTTTAATCCTATAATCCCACACAAGACCTCAAGTTGTATTTACTGTTTGCATTTTAATTGGCATAGTCCCAATTGATTTACCGCCCATATACCTTTAGCACAACCTTGACAAAAGGGACGAGTACAATAGGAAAGGCTTAAATAGAACTGTCTAGTAAGAGCTGCTCAAATACATTTGTTCAGTGTCCTACAAAGGAGAGTAGTTTAAATCATATTGATGAATCACATTACAGCACAGATTTTAAGGGAAAAAAATATCTGACTTAGGGACAAGCGTGATTTGTTTTCTTAATTGAAGGATAAACTCATAACATGCTGAGAAAAAATCATTATGTAATATACTACATTATGAAGATAATCTATTAAAGTGCACTCAGAAAATCAGAGAATAGCGATGATAACAAAGTAGTTCTTGTCTGTAGATTTCAAAGGGCATCATTCTGAATTTTCTCTCAGAACTGATCTATACAAAAATGGCAATTTTAAACCCCTAAGGTTGAATTTTCCCTCTTTTCAAAGCCTTGAAATATCTGGGCAGTGTATTTCAACACCAACAGACAAAAGAGTGTGATAAAAATATCGCCATTGCCCTGGGAAGAAGAGGCGCAACTCTTCCACGTGCACCACAGTCAGCAATACTTTAGCTTTCTGGACAGACTGCAGTCAGAGATGCAGGAACTGTGCAAGCCCCTTGCTGCTAAGAAATGGAGAAAAGTTGTTTCCTGTGACTACAACTGTCTTAAGTGAGCGACATACAAACATGGATTTTCTTAACTGTTTGTTTTTTCTCTAATCTCTTGTCATAGAGTGCCCCACACTCGGAATAGCAGAGAAATCAGCAGTCTACAAAGGGACTTTAAAAAGTCTACCCATAACTTCCCTACAATGTTAACAAATGGCAATTCCAAAGCCCTCTGAATGACCACTAATTTAGTGTGCCTTATCATGAACCCACTGACAGACAACATCATGCTGGTGCTGTGTATTACGTTCACCCGGGTGCTGAAGCCTAAACTCGCGGTTCTTCTTCTTTCTAATTAAGATTTTTCATTGCTTGAAATTCACCTGCACTTGTGTGGTTTTAAATCCATCCTAAATCTGCTAAGTGGCCAGAAGGTGGGAAGCAAAGCAGGCAATCGAGCATCCCCTCTTCTCTTCTTTGATGGCCTTCAGAGTGCGCCCATCACAGCCAATCCCTCAAGAGAATTCCGTCTCTTGGAGGGAAACCACAGCACTGAAGATTAGTGGTAACCTTTTGATTTTAGCTCAGCCAAGGGTAAACTATGTTAACAGTAAAGATGTAGGAGCAGAAAGTTTTAGTGGACCTATTAATGTACCCACCCATTACATCTATCAAATGACTTACAACTAGTTCAAAATAGAGGATTCCCTTAAAGCATTAACTTCTTTTTAAGAGGACTACATGGTATGGTACAGGAGACAGAAGTTAGAAAACTAAAGCATCTTGGAAAACAGCACCCTCGTCTTAAATCAATGAAGGATGTCCTTAAAAAAAAAAAAGCCATCTAATTTCTTTTCATAACGGCAAACGTCAACACAGCAAAATAGGATGCAATTTTTCTAAATAAATAAATCAATGATGTGTCAAAAATTAACAGATGAGTTAATATACTTGGTGCTATCAAAAGCAGGTGGTGCTTCCTAATATTCATCCTGCTCAGTCAGTCCCTGAATATTTTCTGGACCATCGGTATATAAAATAGGATGCTGCTATTTGTGATGGCAAACAAAAGCAATCATGCCTGCCAAGCACATACTATAACAGGCAGCATTTCAGCTCTGCTAGACAGAAAGTAATTAGAATGCTTTTAATGTCCAAAAGAATGATGCTGATAGGCTGCCACAGATGTGTAGATTTATGAATATTTATATGGTGGTTTATGGCTGACACTTTTATCAGTTGAAGAAGATAAAATATCTGCCTGACTCAAAAGCTTGACAGTCAGGTTAATAAAATCTCATTAAAGAGAATGACCTATGCAATTATATAGGATTTATTGTAATTCATTTTTGATTGTACTCTGCTTAAAGATGCAATTTCCCATTTCCTGATGCCAAATTTAGGCTGCATATCAAGATCTACGTGGGTTTTAACTCTAAGCCTCCCACAGAGGAAAAATATGCTTTTAAAACCATGGTGTGTTACCCCTTTTAAGGAAAATTATACTCTTCATGAGATTTTATAAGAATGTCAAAAAATCTATTTTTAATCTCGTATTTCTTTCCTCAATGGCTTGCAGCATTTAATAGCAAGTAAGATTCACCTCAACCCTTTCATTTTTCAGCACATTCGCCCTGGACAGCCAGCCACACCTCTCCTATGCTGCACTCCCTTGTCACACTGCTGCTTGACTATCTCCAGCTGACAAGGTGGCCCTAAACACTCACTGCTGTGAGAAGCAACAGGCAGAGCCCCACCTGCCCCGCCCCATGTGTTTAAAAGGCCCTGGTGAGCACACAAGCTCATTGGCTCAAAGTGGCACCATTAGTCCCTAAAAGAACCAATCAGCTGTCCACATGGCTGTCCCTCTGATGGCCACTCACATCACCACACCTGTTGAGAGATGGTCTGTACATTAGTGATTAATAGTACCTTAATTCTAAGGCTCTCCCTCAGCATCCAGAACATTCTCTGTAACACACAGGAGACCTACTATCCAGCACATACTCCCATCCTCTCGACCATACCCCGGAGACCTCACTAACAAACAAAAACTAACAATTAAAAAACAACCCCCTTCCCCCCAAAAAACCCTTCGACCACGACAGCCTTGAGAAAACTGGTCATATGGGAAAGTAAAAAAAAAAAAAAGAAAGAAAGAAAAAAAAAGCCCCTTCCTATCTTTAAATTCAGTGACAATGTCTTCTAACTTGTGACAGAGACAAACTAAAATAGGATACTAGAAAAAATACTGAGGGGAGGGGGAAAAATCCCAAAAACTCCAAATGAAGATGACAGAGAAAGTTCTGGAACAAAAGCAGCCATGAAAAGGATGCTAAGAAACTGAGGCTGGAAGAAATAATCCAGAGACTATGGCAGGGAAGAGCACCATATGGATGGAAATGGCAAGGAAGGAGGGAGAGAAAGCGTCAAAGCCAACAGCCTGAAAAAAGTGCCCGTCCACGGACTGAACCAGGCAGACAAGGGGTTCCTCCCCAAAGACCTGGGTGGAACCAACATTCTACAAGAGTGTAAAATATGGCAATGGGGCAAAGACCCCAAACTGTTGAAAAACAACATAAAGAAAATGCTGAGCTGGGGTACTGCACACACTCAGGAAGCAATATAGAGACCGAGGTCTGAGAATTCCAAGCCAGTCGGAGGTAGGGAAAGACCCTGTTTCAAAAACAAAAACTAAACAGCACATGAAAGCGGGGGAGGGCCTAACAGCACACATAAAAACACAATGGGATATTAGGACAAGGGCAATGGGGGAAAAATCACCCCAGAAATGGTCGGGAAGTCGTGTAAGAACCCCAGCACAGAATCCCTAACATCTCCAAAGCATTGAGGGATATGACAGAAAGAAGTCTTCACTATAACCTGTAATTAGATTTTCTTTCTCCAAACCAATCCTTCACATGTCAAAATATTGACAAACAGCAGAGCTCTTAGCATAGACATCTATAACTCCTTCAGAGACAATGCCCATCTATTGTCACTAGGAAACACACACACACACACACACACACACACACACACACACACACACACACACAGTCTTAGATGACAATCAGAAGCTGGGAGGCTCTTAGGTGCCCTGAAAGGCCTGAGCAGGGACTGTAATCACGATGAACCATAAATGTGACTGTATGTCCTTCCTAGGGGAGCAGAGACGGCAGGCCTTGCTCAGTGCTCCCATGCTCCCTGGAGGAGATAGCAATCTCGACCTCTGTGTGGGCGATCCCCGCTCGACTCGGGTACATAGAAACCAGTGTCTCAAGGACTGGGAGGGTGGGGATTTTAACTCTGCTCGGTAGACGCCCTCGAATCCGTGGCTGGAGGAGCATCCCCCATCAAAAACAAAAAACAAACAAAAACACTCCAAAACTTCACACACATACACACACACGCGCGCGCGCACACACACCCAAACCCAGCTGAGCACCAGGGCCACGGCTGACCGGGAGTGGAAGAACTACGTGTCTTTGCCACAGATAAAGCGAAGGGTGCGCGCCATCAAAACTGGAGCGCACAGAGAAAAAGAAACGCGGAGACCCCCAGGAGGAGCCCAAGTGGCCGGGGACCGGCGGAGGTGGGGAGGGGGTCTTCAAGGGGCGAAGGGCAGGCCCTCCCGAGGCAGAGAAGCGCCTAGAAGGACAAGCAGGCAGCGGCGGGAGGGAAAGAGAAGTGCGGCGAGAAAAAGTGAAGTGGAGGGGAATAAAATGGGCGTCTCCGTGGAGTGGACTCAGCCTGCTGTCCCGGGGCCTGTCCCCTCCCCAGTACCGCGCCAGGGCCTGCAATCCCCGCGTCGTCCCCACCCCAGCCCCGGCCGTCCCGCCGCCGCCGGCCTAGCTTCTCGCCCACAGCCCGCGCCGCGGAGCCACCTGTTAGGCGCGCACGCCGTCGGAAGCCCGGGCCGCAGATCTTCCAGAAGTTACTACTGCCCGAGCGCAGCACGCTCGCTCCCGAGGCCCACGGGCCCCCCCGCGTGCACACACGGCCTCCCCGGATCCCCCCAGGGCCCCCCCCCCCCAGTGCCCAGGCCTCCGCCGTCGCTCCGCAAAGTTGCGGCCCGGGAGTCGGTACCTGCACTGAGCTCCAGGCTGACGCCGTCGCTACCCGCGCTGCTGCTGCCCGCGCCGACCGCCGGGCCCGGGCCGTACCTGACGACGGCGGCGAAGGACGACGACGACGAGGCGGCGGGGGCCGTGGGCGGCGGCGCCGGAGTCCTCGGGTGGCTCGGGGGCGCGGCGGGCGTGCAGGACGGCGACGACGACGAGGCGGCGGCGGCGGCGGGGGGCCCGGCCTGAGCCGGCCGGGTAGGACGGCTGCGTCGGGAACGGCGGCGGCGGCGGCTCGCTGCTGCTGATGGGCACGGCGGCGAGCGGCGCGAAGGGCGGCGGCGGCGGCGGCGGCAGCGGGGACGGCCGCGCGGGCGGCAGCTCCAGCAGCGTGGGTCTGTCGTAGCGCTTGGCCAGCGCCGGCCGCCGGCTGGGGAACGTCTTGAGGACGCTGTAGGGGCCGCGCTGCTTGTAGATGCGGGGCGCACTGGGCCCCTCCTCCGCCGCCTGCATCTCGGGCTCCATGCCGAGCCTGAGGCCCTGCCCGGGCCGCGCGCGGCTCCACGGGTGGCTCGGCCGCCCGGCCGGCCGCTCTACCCCGGCGCGCGCCGGCGGGAAGGCGTGTGTCTGAGCCGTGGTGGCCGCCGCCGCCGCCACCGCCACCGCCGCCGCCTGTCGCCGAGCCTGGCATCTCCGAGCCCCCGCGCGGGGGGGCTGCCGCCCAGCGCTGATTGACAGCCCGCCTCGCCAATGCCTGGAGGGAGAAAGGAGGTAAGGAGCAAGTGTTTAGGGTAATATCTGCTAATGATGATGGGGGCGGGGCGGGGCCTGGCGCCGGGGCGGCCCGCGCGATCGGCGCCTCGGACAGGGTCGTGGGGGGGAGGGGAGGCCGCGGCCCGAGGGGACCCCGTGGCGGGGCGGGGGTGGGGGTGCGGAGTGGGGTGCGGGGCACGGAACCTGGAGGGCGTCCTGGCGGGGACAGGTGGAAGAGGTGGGGGTCCCGGGTCTCTCGGCTGTGGACGTGAGGCGGCCGCGCCTGCCGGCCGGGTCCGAGGTTTGGAAACCAGTTGCCGGCGCCCTCCTGCGTGACCTCCCAACTCTCGGAGTGCACGAAGGGGGTGGTACCTAGAAGTTAGGGCGGGGTCGCCGGAGTGCAAGGGTGGGACAGTAAGTTCTTCTGGAAGGAAACTGCAGCCCCCACCTTCGGAGGAGAACATCTCGAAGGACTTGGCACGGGCTGCTGGGAGGCTTGTCCTGCCTTAGGGTCTTGCATGTCCCAGGTCTGGCGGCTGAACATGAAAGCGCTCAGGGCCTCGGGCTTGCATACTGTTTCACTTGTTCTCCACAGGGGGCTGGGAGAGAGCTGGGAGGGACGCCATTGTTTCTCTCCATTCTACAGATTTGAAAGCTGAGGCTCTGCAAGATTAAAGGGCATTATCCAAACTCACACAGAGGAGCTTGTGAGTGAGTTGCACGGATGCAGGCCGGTCTTCAGAATTTAAAATAGCTGGTAAACCGTGCAATTAAAGGGAGCAAAATGACCTCACGCTTCCCTCGGGGATGGAAGCTTTGAACATTATTATTATTTATGCATATATTTTGCAAGACCGAGGTGGCCTGGAATCTCACTTTCTGCGTTGCTCATTCTAACTGGCGACGCCAGGCTAGGGGTTTGGCGGGAGCACGGGATCTCAGTACTTGTTCTGAGTGAGGACAGACAGACCCCAGTAGTTTGCGGGAGAAACCCCATAAGGTCCTTGAAATATAATAAAGGGTTCTGTCCTCTGCCATTCACTCCTCACTATCAAAGGAAGCATCCTTCATTTAGGCCTGCTCCAGTCCCAGCATCCCCTCCTCCCGAGCTTGGGTTCCAACCTCATTCATCATTATCCAGGTCCTTGATGGATGGCCCTCATCTCTCGAACCTGGAGTTACTTTCTTATTCAGAGCTATCCTTTTAGGCTTGGGAAAGTGACTATTTTCTTCAGGGGTTCGGGTCTTTGACCTCTCATTTCCCAGACCTCCCTTCCATCGGAAGAGGTCTTCCTTGCTGTTTCAGAGCCTGTGCTCTCCCTCCTCTGGACTGTCCCCTTCTCCTTTGCAAGCTCCTCGGATGGTGCTGTGCCCCTCCTCCATTTATTAGAGATGAAATAAATAATGCCATAAATAAAAGTATTTGGGAGTCCAGGAACTGTCAGGGCTGATTAGGGCATAGAGGACATTTTCTTTCTCATTATGCAAAAGCATTTCATGGGGAAATAAAAGAGGTTTCATTGTAACTCATGCATGTCATATTTCAAGGAATTCAAGATATTAATCATATTTAACATTATTTGCAACGTTTCTTCTCCCTGGCTCCTGAAAACTGCTAAATGAGGACACGTGGATCGGCGGGAAGAAAGGGAACGTGAGAGGGACAGTTGAGAAATAATGAAATGCTGGGGAAAGGCTGCGAGGATGAAATGCCAGGGAGATGTTTCTCAGGCACACAGGGAGAAATGGGGGAGTGACTTCCGAGACGGGAGGCAGATGAAACTGGATGATACACGGAGGAAATAAATGATAACAAGCCTCCCCACACTTGCCCTTCTAGAGAGCAGTCCTGAATTTTGCATTGAAATCTTTCCCTCCTACTTCACTCCCCGATAATTTACCAGTTACTCCTAGCTTTTGAAAAGACGTTAGAGTGGTGACGGTGGCGGGGAGTGGGGCTTGGTGGAGGTTTTAGAAAACGTTCAGCCCTCTGGTAAAGAAATGATTTCCTGTACCTGGGGTGGGGGGATGAGCTAACTTCTATGCATATTTTTTTAGATCTATTGATTTTATTTGTATGAGCGTTTTGTCAGCGTGTGTATCGGCACTGCATGGATACCTGGTGCCCAAGGATCTGGAACTGGTTTTGCAGATGGTTGTGAGCCATCATGTGGGTGCTGGAAATCGAACCTGAGCCCTCTGCAAGAACAAAAAAATGCTCTTCACCACTCAGCCATCTCTCCAGGCCTTAAGGATATATTCTAAATTTATGTCATCCTTGCCACTCAGACACCTTGAGAGACTGGGAACCATACTTTATCTTTTACTGACTGAAAGGACCATCTGTCATGTATATCCCAAAGTGGCGGGTTCTGCAAAAGCAAATACTCAAATGAGTGGTTGCTATGGTTGGGATCATCTCTAAACATACGTGTTGGACTTAGTCCCCAGTGCAACAGTACAGGGAGTGGGGCCCAAGGACAGGCATTTAGTACATGGGGGCTAAAGTCCTAAGGTCTTGAATCGATGCCTGTTATAAAAGAACATGGGGTTGTGAGTTCGAGTTTCTCATGTGGGTGATGCCACTCCCACATTATGGTTCATGTTACCACAAAAAGGCTCTGAGTGGGTGTTGCCCATCAACCATGGATGTCTCAGCCTCTGGAATGGCAAAAAACAAGAAAACAAAACCAAAACCAAAAACAAACCCACCTAATTTCCATTCTTTGTAAACTGCCTAGCGTATGGTATTCTGTCTGCTATGAGACGCGCTTTGTGCTGCTATGAGAAGGAAATTTTAGCAACAGCAGTTTCTTTACATTGTGGGAATGGCTCAGGTAGTAGAGCACAGAAGAATCTGGGGGAATAAACGTGAAAAGGCCTAAGCTGCTGGGAATGGAGCATTAGCAGTAACTGTGGTGAAAACTCAGAACTACAGAGAAAGCATGGAACGTTTACAGTTAGTTAAGCAGCTTTGATCAGTGGTTGAAAAGTGGGGTTTGGTGGCTTTGCACCTGTGATCCCAGCACTATCCCCCTAATCTAGCACTCACTTGGGAGGCAGAGCCTAGAGGCTTGACCTGTAATACATATCCAGACCTAGAGGGAGGGGAGAAGAAAGGGAGGGCAGACTGAGGGCAAAGGACATTCTAATGAGTCTCCAATTGGAAGAGGCTGGAGTAAAGGCCATCTTGGTTCTGCAGAACTCTGCCTTAGGAGTATGTGGAAGGCAGAACTTCTCCATAAAGAACAATGAAGTTGGATGTCTGGCAGAATGCATATCTAAGCGATTGCAAAGCCTTCAGAGGGCTGGCTGCACAGCTTCTTTTGGCTGAGAGGTGGGAGAAATGATTTAAAGATGGAATGTATAATTAAAGGGGATGCAGAGCAGAAAGATGGGGAGATTTGCAGCCTGGTGTGATAAGAGTGAAAAAGCATACCCAGGAGAGAATACTATGGGTATGGCTAGTAACCCTTTGCTTAAGAGGCTGTTTAGGTTCTGGCACTCAGGGTCTATTCATCAGGATAATGAGACAGTGGCCTTAACTGTCTGAGATCTTTGAGATGAGCCAGGACTTTGAAGGCAGGGTTTCCAGAACGGTGTCTGCTGTCCAGAGCCACCTGAGAAGGTGTCTGCATTCTGACGCAGCATTCCTGGGCTACCCTGGGTGTGCCTGACTAGGTTAGCTCAGAAGGGCGGAAGCTGTAAGCTTTGGAAGGAACTGTGTGTATTGACTCAGCGTACAAGCTGAGGGACCAGTTGTCAAAGACATTTTGTACAGTTTGGGGCTTTAGGCAGAGACTTGTCACAGGGGCAGGATTACCACTGAGAGCCCCAACAAGGGCAGTGCCTAGGGTAGGCCTGGGAATAAGGTCCTCTTTCAGTCCCCCATAATGTAGAGTCATTGGTGTCCAGCCTGATCCTGGGAGAGCAGAGTAAGCTGATCCCAGTAAAAGACTGAGCAGTGGGTGCCTGATACTTCAGGTTCAGGGCCAATCCCTTTAGGGCCTCTAGGAGGTGGCAGGTGGTAATTCTGGGGTCTTCAGATTTAAATGCCCACCTCTTTGGGTTTGGATTTACCAAATACCATCTCACCATATTTGTGGTTTTGAGATAGGGTCTTATTGTAGCCTAGAATGGCTCGGAAGTCACTGTGTAGCAGAGTCCCGACTAAAACTTGAAGCAATCCTCCTGCCTCAGCTTTCCAAGCACTGGGCTTACTGAGTGCTGGGGTAACAGACATTAGCTGCTATCCTTGGCCCACTCAGGCCAGAAGAACTTTGAGCCTCCTAGGCTCTTTAAGAGCCACTTACTTCCAACCCCTCTATCTGTCTGGCCTGACGTCCTGTGACCCAGTAAAGCTCTCCCAGTATGTCACTAACTGTTGTGGACCTCTGGCTTCGGCCAACTATTAAGCTAAGAAAATTCTAACATCTCAACCTGTAGAAAGGATTTCGTGTCTTGCGGTAGCTTCCCCACGGTTGTCTAGTGTTTTTGAAGATGTGTCTGTTTCTCACCACCTTTGTTCTGTGGCTGTGTACAACGCCTCTTCTGCAGTGGGACATGTTGTCCAGAGAGGCCCGAGTCTGTGTCCTGGGCCATGGTCACTCATCTTTGGCTAAGAATCAGCTGTTTTTCTTTCCCCTTGAATGCAGTTGTTGCTTTACAGCTTTGCTACAAATGTAGTAAGGCCAAGCACTTACAAAGTCCTTTGTAAGTAGCACTTGGTAAACGGTAAACAGTGCTGGGCTCTGTGGTCTAAATCATCCGACAGTGACTTTGCTGCTGTCTGCTCTTGGGGGCCTTCCAGAGACTGACAATTACAGTCATGCTTTAAATCTTTTTAGATATTTCCTCTTATCTCAAAAAATAAGAGATGGTGAACTTTTGAAAGCCAAGGGGCTATATATGGACAGGGTAAATTCTTGATTGGCAGCATGTCAATTCCTTGAACCATCCAGAATATAGCTTTTAAATAATAACTCAGCCATGGGAAATGCTTTTTATTGCACCAATTTCAATGATATTTAATGAGCTTCTGATTGACTGTTTGATCTCCCAATGTTTTGTGCTACTTTTAATTCATTTCGTATAATAGGAAAAAAAGTAATTGGAATAAAATTTTGTGACAAGATAATGACCTTCCACTTTGAAATTAAATGTCTGATTAGCTTCAACATTTTAATGCTGAGATGATGCTGCAGCAGGCATGGAGTGTGCATACTGTCATTCCATGGAAAGCGACTGAGGAATACGCCTTCACTTTGTTTATCGCATGGCCAAAGGGCAGGCATGGTGGCTGTAGAATCATAGACACTCAGGCCTAGGAGGGAATGGTACCGTCTGACTGAACCTGTATCTGTGTCTTAACAACTCTGATACATGGTTGTACAAACCATACTTGAGTGCCAGTAATGGGGATCTCACTACCTCCTAATACATCATCCATTCACCCAGGTATTAATCAAAAATATGCATTGTGTGTCTACTGTGTGTTAGTGTCTTCATGGGTTCTGAGGGATATCATGGCAAAACATATTGTGGGGTCCACTGAGGAAATGAGGAGCAAATAATAAATTAGTCGCCAACTTAAAAATATTTATTGAGAGGCATAATTACTGATAAAAGTGAGGTAAGAGCATTCCCATTCATATTGTCTCTCTTTCTCTCATGTAGCCCAGGGAGCCTCAGACTTGCTGTGTGGTAGAAGATAACCTTGAACTTCTGACTCTCCTGCCTGTACCTCTCAAGTGCTAGGATTACAGTTGTAGGTTTTTGTAGTGATGGGGAATAGAATTCAGGGCCTTGTGCTTTCTAGATAAGTACTCTATCACTTGAGGTACACCCCCAGACCTGTTGTGTGCTGCAAATGATATGACAGACTTTCAACCTTCCCCTATGGAAGGCTTCACCCTCCCTGGGAAGCAGAAAGGGGATAGGATAGGACCGGGAGTCAGTGGGGAGCAGGGGAGGAGGGGGAGGGAGAGGCAGCTGGGATTGTCATGTAAAAGAAGCTTGTTTCTAATTTAAATAAAAAAGGGAAAATTGATTAAAATAAAAAAAGAAAGAAAGCAGGTTGAGCAAGGGGCAAGGAGCAAGTTAGTAAGCAGCAGGCTCCCAAGGCTCTGTGTCAGCTCCTGCCTCCGGGTTCCTGCCCTGACTGGGTGAACCCACCCTGAGGGCATGCATGTAGGGGGCTGGCTCCACTCCCTCACTTGAGGCAGGTGGCCCCAGTGGCCTGGACTGACCAGCTTGGTACTACCCAGGTCCATAGCCAGGCCTTGGGTTGGCCCACCCTGACATCTGCCCCATCTAGGACCTGCTGGAGCTGGTGAAGGCACTGGTACCGCAGAATGATGCCCACAAGATCTCCAAGACTCAGAGTGACCACAGGATATCCCAGAGGAGTTCTGGTGAGGATCCAGTGAGAATGGTGTACCAGAAGCAGAGGCCTTGATTCAGACCAGTGACTCATCGCAATGAACAGTTGCCAGTCAAGCTGATGGGACAAAGAGGTTACTATATGACACACTGAAGCCTCCAATGCCGTCAGGACGGATGAAGAGGTGTTGGAGAGGCAGGAAAGAAGAAGCAACGAGATTTTCCTGTTGTGGAGGTTTTTGTTTGTTTCGTTTGGGGGGTTGTTTTTTGCTTTTGTTTTTGCTTGCTTACTTTGATTTTTCTTTTGGGGGGGCATGGCAGGGATGAGGGGAGGATATGAGGAGACTGGGAGGTGAGCAGAATTGGGGTACATGATGTGAAACTGCCAAAGAGTCAATAAAGAGGTTAAAACAAACAAACAAACAAACAAAAAGAACGATCCAGGCCAAAGGACAGCAAATCCAACAGCCCTTAGGTGGGGTTAGGTGGAGCAGAAAGGGAGGGGAGGAAGAGGTTAAGAGTATCAGGCAAATGGCAGGATGCAAAGGGGACTCAGCAGACTAGGCTGCAGGCTGAGGGAAAGAACACTAGAGCTCATTCTACCTGCAGTGCGGATGCGGGGACTCGGGAGGGAGAGACATGACCGGCTTTATGTTATAAAAACTAATTTTCAGGAAAGGGGCAGCCTTAACTCTTACCCAGGCATAAAAGCAAACAGGGTAAGAACTGTATTTGACTTACTTGGCAGCCTCATGGTTCCAAAGGAAATTACGTATTAGTATAGAATAAAGGAAGCTTAACGAATGTATAGGTTGATTTTCCAGGGGAAGTGGGCAAAGGAGGGAACTTTTCCCAATATCTAACAGCTATCTAAGCTTGAAAAGTTAAAAACAAAAACAAAACAGTGAAAGACGTTGGGAGAGTACCAACAGATAACTACAAAAATGTGTGTCATTTCACTTGACAGGGCCCCATTGAAACAGAATTTTTTTCTGCAATGCTTTTTTAAAAAAACAAAAGAAGAATTTTTAAAATTATTTTAGATTCACAGGAGGTTGAAAAGATGGTATAAAGAAATTCCAGGTACCTTTCATCTGTTTTTTTTTGCAAAGAGTACACCGTGTATTCCTATAGATGTGTACTTTGCATGACACTTTTTCCCTTTGAGGTTTTTCACTTAGTTTAGTATCTTTGAGACCCACCCAGTGTGTTGCACACATCAGTAGTTTGTTCCTCTTTATGACTGAGTAGCAGTCTGATATGGATGTGCCACAGGCTTTTACGTTATGACTGTTAACAGTTTGGGACAGTGACATGTATGGCCCCTGGGAACAACTGTGCAGGGTTTTGCATGGAGGTAAATGTTGTTCTCTCGGGAAAGGGCTAAGACTAGGTTGTGGGTGTGCTTTACTGTGCCCCCTCACGCTTTCCAGGATCTGAACGGAAGGAGAGACAGTTCATTTCCACCAGCAGCTGTGGATCCTTTTAAAATGTACCCGTTCTTCTGCTGGGTGCAGTGATTCCAGCACTGGAGAGGCACAGGCAGGCAGATCTCCGAGAGTTCAATGCCAGTCTGGTCTACAGATGGAGTTCCAGGACAACCGGAACTGCATAGTAAGACCTGTAGTGAGACCCTGTCTCAAGGACAAAACAAAACAAACAACCCATACATATAATCAGCTTCCATTCTCCCCTCCATTGTCTTCCCTTCTCCAGGATGAAATGCAGCCTTGCAGTTGCTGACTTAGGCTCTTTATCATCTGCGGCCACCCCCGCCCCTGTGAAGACTAGAGCTTGTCTGGTGCCGAACTGACATGCACGCCCTGAGATGTTATGAGCAGCCTGCTCGACGTTCCCTCTGCCTGTTCCGCTCTTGGTGTCCATTCCTTCTGTTGGAGTCTGTCTGTCCCTTGCTAGTCCGCATGGCCCCAGAGGTTGTCAGCTGCATACAGAATATCTGTTTCTTATCAGATTGCCAAGTGTCGGCATTGACCCCCATTGTCTAATTGGGTCTTGATGATGGACTGTCTCATCCATGAACATGCTCGATACTACAATGTGAGTATCATTTCCCTTGAAGCTAAGAGGACCCAAGAACAAAGAGTTGAAGAGATTTCTCCACACCCACAGCAAATTTGAAGAGTTTAACTGAAAATTCTTCTATTAAGTAACCAGTATCCCTTGTGAAGTTTTGTAAATTTAACCTTTTAGTCTCTTATTCTTTACTTGCCTTCAGTTCTTAAAGAAAAATCCCCCTACCCAGAGAGCAGAAATCACCATGGACAACATTATCACATGTTTGAGATATGTAAGAAAACCAAATGGGATGTTGAAGCCCAGGAGGGAAAGAAAAAGGTAGTTTGGTTTAGAAGATAGCCGAGTGACAAAATGTGTGTGATGCAGTTCTTAAGTTACTACAGCGAGATCAGTTTCCATTCTGTCTCTGCTAGCCTTCTCCCCTGCCTAAGGACTGCATTGTAATTGAATGACCAGGTCATACTCAGTCTTAGTGTTTAAGCCAAAGTTCAATCTCACAGGAACAGAGGAGTGTGGCTTTCCATGGAGAGGATCCTAAAGTGAAATGGTGAAATGCAGTCCTAGACACTGGCAACTTCAGGTGTGTAACAACACATAGAATATATAAATTAGCCCATGCTATTTGTCCCCTAGCCCAGAAAGCAACTGGATTTGCCTGGTTGCCTGAGGTATTTTCATAGCTGGATAACAAAGCTGCTGTGAGCAATCATATTTCTGTTAGCTTTGGAAACCAATTGAAATGTTTTTATTGAAAAAAATAGTTTTTTTTCTATCTATGTTGCTGGATGCTTCGTGTCTGTCTTCTGGGCCAGGAAATACATTGTTTTGTTTTAAATTTCTTCTTTGTCTTCCTAAAGCAGCTGGTGTTGACGTCACAGGTTGCATGAAGATTAAAAGAGACTTAGGAGTCAGTGAGATTGCTCAGTGGGTGAAGATGCTAAACGTGATGACCCAAGTTCAGCCTCCAGGTCCCATGTGACGGAAGGAGTGAAGCGACTCTTTCGAGTTGTCCTCACACACTAAAATAAATACATATTTTTTAAGAAAAAAAATGACTCACTATTGCTTGCCACTCACACCTCTGGGGGTTTCTCCTTACCGTTGTGACATCAAAGGTGGATGACAAGGTCTTAGCTGCTTTGTTTTATTAGCTATTTCAAGAGCTTCCTAAGGATGCTGTATTTGCTTAGGATTCTGGAGATTAAAAGTCTAAAACCCAAGATGCATTGCCATATTATGTACCTATAATCCAGCCACCCAAAAAGGCTGAGGCAGGAGGATGACCAAGTGAAAACAAGGTCAGTCTATGAACATAGGAAGAGCCTATCTGTATTATTTGCTTTTAATCTGAGCACAATACTTGATGAGAACACTTTAAGAAGGAGGAAGGACTTATTTTGGTTCACAGTCTCAGAGGGTTTAGTCTGTGATTGCTTGATCTGGTGTGCTTGGGTAGAGCGTCGTAGCTGTAGGAAAAGGTAGAACATGTGAGAAGAGAGCTGTAACTTCATGCTGGACAGGGAGCAGAGATCAATACAGGGAGACCCCAGAGCAAAACAAGACCCCAAGGACACCCCACATTGACTGACTTAATGCAACCGCCCCAGCACCCAGCCTCTGACTCCCTTCAATAATGCATTATATCAAGAATCCACCAAGGAATCAATCTGTTCCTTAGGTCAGCACCCTTATTATCTAGTCTTCTGGAAACCCATTGCAAACTTAGCCAGAGGCATATTTAGCTTGTTTCTCACCTAATCAAGGCAAGAAGATTCAGTATCCAACCAAAGTATAGGCAGGACCTTGTGAGAGCCATAAGGAAGAATCTGTTTTTCTTCTCGACCTTCTGCTGGTTGCTTGCTGGCAATCACTGGGATTCCTACCCTCGTCTCTGCCTTCACCTTCACTCAGCATTCCCCCCTGTACTAGTCTTTGTGTCCAAGTTTCTTTTCAATCATTTGCCTTACTGTACTTTCTTACTGAAGTCCTGGGGAAATTGATACACGTACCACAGACTATTCAGGTTACACTATCTTCGCTATTTAGCAGAATGGAAAAAAAGGGTCAAATCTTTTTTAAGCTTTTCAGAATGTTTATATCAGTCAATATGAATGGGAGACTTAAAGGCACACGTGATTTGGGCACATGACCAATGTATGTGTCCTCTACAAAAGGACACCATCATACACCTAACAACATTACAGGGAGTGCTAAGGACAGACAGATCCTGGTTTTCTAGCCCTATTATCAAAAGGCAGCAAAGTTATTCTGGTTTTAGCACTTAGAAAAATCACTGAAGATATGCTTAAACATAATGAATTGGGGCTGGAGAGATGGCTGAGCGGTTATGGGCACTGCATTGACTATTCTTCCAGGGGACCTGGGTTCAATTCCCAGCACCCACATGGCAGCTAATGCCTGTAACTTCAAGATCTGACACCCTTCACACAGATATACATGCAGGCAAAACACCAATGCATATAAAATAAAAAAGGATAAATAAATGAATCAGCTAGTTTGGGGAAGAATTTTGGAAATACTGATAATTGCATGTCTTTTCTAGATTAGAATCCAACCTCTGGGATGAGACCTTGGCATTGGTAGTCTAAAATCTCTCTAGGAAGCTAGGCATAGTGGCTCATGTCTATAATCCCAATAGTTGGTAAGACTAAATGGGATTGCCATGAGTTTGTAAGCTACAGAATGAGACCTGTCTCAACAAAACAACAAAATCTCTTTCGTCTGGCTAGCTGTTGTGGTTTGTACTGAATAGCGTAGGGTAGCCTCAAACTCAGGGCCATTTCCAGACTCCTGCCTCACCCCTCTGAGAGCTATGGTTGTAGATATAAGCAACCATGCCTGACTGTACACTTGTTTTCAGAACCACTGCTTGACGCAGCAGCATTGCACACACCATAGTATGGGCTGATTCCTGGAGACCAGGGTGCACTTGGGATAGCTGAGCACATTGTTATTTGTGACTGAATACACTTCTCCGAGGACACAGTTACTGCAGTTAGAGAGCAATCGCATTTTCTTCGTGTCTGCGCTAGGGACAAAGCTCAAAAGAAACGACTTCATTGTGGAGGACTGAGGCTCCAAGCAACATGTTTATTACATGGAGAGGGATATACATTCGCCACAGGTGGACACCTTCCGTGGGAGGTCAAGGCAGCAAGTTAACCTTCCAGTCCTCCGTATTATTACACTTGGTTGTAAGGGTCAAGTCAAACTAGATTTAAGGCAGAGGGAATTTGTTGGGTCCTTCTATTCTCAAGGTTTCGAAGCAGGGGAGGGTGGGAGGGGGGAGGGATGGAGGGAGGGAAGGAAGCAAGGAAGGAAGTTTTAGGATTAGAAACAGGCTCACTGATTGCAGAATTCTTTCTCCTCGTCTATTTCTCACCTCTCAATTTACAGGAAAGATGGTTTTCAGCAGCTACCACCCACAACAGAAAGACAGCTGCCCCATGCTGTCCTGGAACCTTTCATTGCTGATTGAAATCATTTCATGGCTAAGCTGGGGTCCCTAGGACAACCTTGCAACTACATATGGGGGGGATATGATTTCCTCACTGAGGAGGGCTGAGTAGACAGAATCGCCTGCTCTCTCCTGTATTTTTGAGAAAAGGAAATAAAATGTTTCTCCTTCAAACTTGAATAAAAACTATTTCCAGGAGTGATAAAAAATGTTCCCTAAGCCAAGTGGATAGCCTTCTGTGAAATCGGAAGGCAAAATGGAGGGACAAAGGCCACGGATGTTAAAGGTGGTGGCCAGATGAACTTTGGTTTTGCTCTCTCGTTCTACTTGGAGTTCAGAGGGATGGACCCAGACTGGTTTGGTCACAGATGCTGCAGTGCACACAGCAATACTCTCTACCCTCTGGCCTGCCGCCCAGACCATGCCTCCCCTGGAGTATGTGGCAGGAGCTTTCCTTAGGTTCCCTCTCCTTTAATGAAAGAATCTCGTTTTCACCCCACTTGGTGTCCGGGCCCCATCGGGGAAGGTCATTACTAAGGCATTACTTCTGCCTTAGCCTGACCTTTGAGCTTAGATGGACACAGGTCTTTCAGAGTTGAGGCTAGCTTGCGTGTTTCTGACTTCACAGAACTACTTTCAAATATGGGTATGTTTTTCTGTGGAGTCATGCTGAGAGCACCCCCACCCCGTATAAGCTTGTAAGCTGCTGTATGTCTGTAAATGAATGACATCCACTCTACACTGAGACTTTTGAATCTTCTGTTTTGTCCCTGCCTCCCAAGTTTTTGCTATTCTGGATTCAGAAGATAGTTCAGTTGCCAAAATTGGTTGGATGAGCTACTTTTAAAATTAGTCAAGTGATCAAAAGTACTGCTTTTCGGAGTCCTTCTAATAAGTCTCCTCTTCAGAAGTGTCCTGTAGGATAATGTTTTGACAAGAGCTGAGGACTTCCTTACAAAGTTAACATCAGGAGACGTCCTCTGCTGTCCCTTCCCAGGAAAATACAGACATTTCATAAGTCACCCTCCCTAAACTGGAGGAGCAAGATAGATGAAGGCATGGATCACCATTAGGTAATCCCACACCCAGGCATCCAAAAGATGGAGACTAACATCTGTCGCTCCTCAGGTCTACAGTGAGGTACTTTTTTGGGCTTCTGGTTTAGTCCTATATGGATGGCCTGAGGCTTTAACCTTAGCTATTTAATTTAAAATTGGTTCTGTAGCTCATGTTTATGGATAAATGAGTAAAACAGTGAAGATCAAAAGCAAAAAATAAAATTACTATGGAATTGACTATTTCAGAAGCTCGAGCCCAGTAAATATTAGTGAAGTGTGGTGGTGCTGGAATGAGAGGCCCCCACTTATGATAATGTGCCTAACAAGGAAATGAGATTGACACAGCGATCCTGTTTCCCTGTCCCCTGAGGTTAGAGATTATGCAGTGCATGTTGCTGTTTTTAGCTTCTTTGGTAATTCCTATGGTGAGAGACGACACTCTGCATATTTGTCACGTTGCTCTTCTGTCAGGTGACAGGGTCTTTGAGGTAGCACAGAAAATGCTCTTGTCCTCTGAGCTGTGAACTCCCTCCCTCCCCACCCCATAGTTGCCCAGTGCCCCATTCCCAGGACTCATTTCTTTATTTATGTTCAGTTGCTAGGGAATTCCGTGAGTCTGTCTAGCAAGCATCGGTGCTGGGTGAGATGATGCCTAAGGCAGCCCCGGACTGATAAAAGGTTTACCTTCATCTGGTGCCCAGGCCCTTCAGCAGGCAGGGAAGGTGAATTGGCTACAGGGAGAGCAGCATGAGACTGAATGAGTAGCAAGCTGGGTAGGCTTCTTTATGACACAACAGTGTGGATTGGGATCCACTGCTTTGATAGTTGATTTTAGAGCTGGGTACTTGGTAAGAAGTGTCCTCGGTGAACCCAGCTGTATAAGTTGGGGTTTCTCAGAGGAAGAGAGCATAGGCTGGCAGATAGGTAGGCAGATCTGGCACGGCTTTAATTGGCAGTTTATGGTAGAACAATGGAGGGCTTAGCACATTTTGTTAAGGAGATTAGAAGATACATTTTGATTCCCAAAGCCCGGGCTGTGCTCAAACCAGCCCACTTGGGGTTTGAGTGATGTGCTGGCTGGCTGCCATATATTCCAAAACCCAGGGCAGGTTGTACGCCTGAGCAGTGGTCCAGGAGCTGTTTCCAGGTGTGTCCAGGAGTGTGCAATCTCCATCTCATGATGGAACTTCCTGAAAAGTGAGTGGGTTGTCTTAGAAACCTCTCTACCATGTTATACACACACTCAAGTTCATTGTGGAAAAGGCAAAAAGAAAAATACAGTTAATAGCAGAAATATTACCCATAATACTTCTATCCACAGATGGTGACAATCAACACAGACATATATTCATCTTGCTGGTCTTTTCTTTCCTTCTTTTTTTTTTTTTTTTTTTTTTTTTTTTGGTTTTTCGAGACAGGGTTTCTCTGTGGCTTTGGAGGCTGTCCTGGCACTAGCTCTTGTAGACCAGGCTGGCCTCGAACTCACAGAGATCCACCTGCCTCTG